CGTATTCAATGAAATGTGCATATATAAAAAATATGTGAAGATTATGAATTTTTTTTTTTTTTTTTTTTCCAGCCAAGTAGAACCTCTGTCAAAAAAGTATTCACGAGACCTATAATATTCAGTTAAATTAAATCCAAGTGTTTGATCAATCAATTGAACTTATTGTTGTCTCTCATGTTTTCTGAATGAACAGACACTAATTCTAATTTACAAATTTGAAATTTTTAATACACAAAAGTTTCATTAGAAATGAATGGAGATCTGAGAAGTTCAATAGATTTATTAAACATCTGGCCCTGATGAGTGTTAAACTCTTGAATCGACTATCCAGTTAAGCCAATTGAACTTTTAATTTATTTCATATATATATCTCAAGCATAGAATAGGAACATTTCATCCTTTCCCTCCTTTTTGATTTGCAGTCGTGTATAATGTAATAAACAAACTTACAATTTTTATAAAATTCTTGTGAGTTATTTGATTATTTTTATGAATCCTCCACACATTGCAAATATTCTCATCTATATATATATGATAAAATTTTTTATAAATCAACAATCTTTATGTATATATACATATAAAAAAATCTGTAACAGGTGCAAAACTATCCAGACAAGCAGCATTTTATTCAAGCCGACTATTATATTATACAAAAGAGTGGGGAGAAGGTGTTCCTCGCTCATGAGTTGTAGGTGGGCCTTAAAAATAGTTATACTGCTTTCTGCCAGTTGTTATGTCATCCTTCATCAATGCACTTAATTCAGTGGAGAATATTAATCCGGTTTAACATTATACAATGACATCAAAATTCTTCTGAGCAATTCTCAAAGTTGTTTTTATACTTTCAAAACAAGTTTTAAAAAGTGTTTTTTTTTTGTTTTTTGTTTTTTTAAGCTTTTAATTGTGCATACCCAGAATATGAAGCCAGGTAAAAAAAAAAAAAAAAAAAAAAAAAAAGCCATTTATTTTCTTTTTGTATTTGTCTACAAAGAAAACTTATCTTGAAGAAATCCCCTGAAGAGGGAAATTATCAGGCACTGATTTTATATTTAATGAAACCATAAAAAAAAAAAAAAAAAAAAAAAAAATAAATCCTGAATCCCCTCCTCCCCAAGAGCTGTGTAGTTCTTAAGTTCCTTAAATGTCAACAGTTTTGTTAACAACAAATTCTATATGAAAGGTGTGTGTGTGTGTGTGTGTGTGAGTAGTAGCAGTGGGAGAGGGATCTTTTAACGACAAAATTTACAAGCCCACATGTAGTTATCTGTTAATCCTTGAGGTTGGTATTGACAGTGGGGTGGATTCTGGAGTTGAGCCAAGTCAAATTTCCTGATCCTTATGACAACTAAGCTGGCAAATTCAATGCAGTGGCATCTGAAGATGGAAAGGAAAAATAAAGAAAAGTCGGTTCCATCATCTTTTCCAGTTTGCATATGGTGTGGAGTTGTAATTTCTGAGTAAGACTAATGCCATTTGGCAAAAGACACAGAGAAAAGGTGTGCAAAGAGACCCATGGAGTCTCTACTTTTTGGCACCTCGTCTACGGGCTTTCGGATAGAAGGAACGCATCTTGGGGGCTGTGCTTCCAGAACCCATATTAAACATGGGAGGTTTTGAAGAGGTTCCTCCTTGTCCTGAAAAGGAGAAAAACAGAATGTTATAAAGGAGAGAGAGAGAGAACAAAAAGGAATGGTTTGGAAAAGAAATAAAATTAAGATATCAGATGGAACATGCATCTGAAGAAGGCTGCAGAGATTTACGATTGAAACATAGATATTACAAACAAACACAATACGAAACAGTCTGAATAGTCGGTCAAAAGTAGCTGAGCATCAAAGAAGGTTTTTTGCCCTTTAAAACAATCTTTAAGAAGTAAAATTTCTTTCAAGTGTGTCTATCATTTCATTTACATAAGTAGAACACAAATTCAGTTTTGCTTTTGAAAAATGTCACACCAACTAACTTTTCTCATTTAATAAATGTCGAAGTTTTATGTGGCTTAGGTGTTGATCACAATATCAGAGAAGAAATTTAAATTTTTATCACTGCATTATTCCAAAATTTTAATACATCAGCAGATAGCTATTAATGTCAACAACTGATCACAAATAGTTATTAATTAAAAAAATTAGTAATCAATGTGTAATACTATCCATAACTACATGTACAAGAATGTTGTTTTTGATAAAAGTTAAAAAGCAACCATAAATACGTAAAAAATGTGTATATTGTGGAAAATTTGTTTTTCCACAATATAGCTATTTGTGATACGTTATAATGAATGCTTATTACCTAAACAATAATAATAATAATACTGAATAAATTCTTTTTTTAAACATTAAAGTATATTTAATCACATCTCCCCAATAGACGTTGCAATCTGTCAACAAAATTACATGTAGAGCAAAAACAAAAGACACCTTGCTTTACCTACATGTTCTTATTCAGACTAAATGTTATATCAGAATACCAATTTTGGGACGTGTATCAGCAGCTTTTTCAGCTCCCCATCTCATCCATAACTTAAAACTTACATCAAATATCATTCACTCAAATTAAATTTTTATATAAAACAAAATTTGATTAAAAAGGATCAAAGTCTATTTCATTAGTTCTTTTATTATATTTTTCCAATTTTCAAATCAAGTGTTGTGAATTGTGATCAAAACTGTGGATAGACTGCTCAAAGTTCACACTGATCACAATACACAACATCTGATTTGAAAATTGGAAAAAATACAACAAAAACTGACAAACCACATCAGTACATTTTAATCAAATTTGTTTGGATGAATATTTACTGCCTATAATTACCTTTATATAACAAAAATTGTATTTTGCCAGAAAACAGTTGACCAAGGTAATTTTGGAAGATAAAATTTTTGTTTGCTTATATAATTTATGTGTTTAAACATTTTTGAAATGGAGTAGATGCTCCATTTTCATTTATTTATCAAACAGTATATTATATTTATTTACATCTACTGGCCTGGATATTTGAGAAATGTTGTTTAGAAAATCCTTTGGCAGGATTTGAAACTGCATCCCCTAGAGGTAACTACCTGATCAAACAAAACTCAAATAGTGCTTTTGAACAAACATCTTCCTGAAATATACATATCTACTCTGTTTTGTATCCTAAGATAAAAAGACAATTTTTCTAGAAAATGGATTAAATCTGAGATTTTTTAAAATTTATTTGTTTAAACTTTATTTTTGAAATGGATACTCATATTTGAATAGATGCTCTGTTTTTATTTATTTATTAAGTCATATATTTATTTATTTACATCTACCTGCATGAATATTTGAGAAATCATGTTAGAAAAATATTCATTGGATTAAATTTGTTATGTTGGTGCAACTACACATGCAGAAAAAACAAGGTCTGCTGGGAATTTAATTTTTTTTTTTTTGTATATAATCTAGCTGATTTAATTTAGATTCTTTTTCTTTTTTCCAAAGCATACCTTGTTCATGCACATTTCCTATTAATAATAAAGATTTTAATGATAAAATTATTTTTATTAAGTTTGGGGAATCTTTTCATCATGTAGGCCTATTTTTTTTTTAGCAGATCTTTGGAGATCCTATGACCCTACAAACTACCAGCCCATTAGCATTCTACCTCCTTTTGGCAAACTACTAAAGGCTCTAATCAATTCTTAATTGGTTGAGCATCTCGTATTGCAAGGCCTTTTTTTTTTCAGACAAGCAATATGACTTTCAATAACAGTGGATTTGTGGCTTATATTGAAACAGTTGTTTTTGTTATGATCTCAAGCACCGTTATTGCAATATAGTTCTATATATAGAACCAATAAAGAAGAACTTGAAGGCGGATATGGAATAACACAGATATATTACAAACAGGAATATATACAGAGAGGTAGGAAAGTTAGTGGTAATTGTCTGAATGCGACTGTTTCGGACTGCCTCTGACTCGACTGACTGACTCGCTCGCTCTGACAGACTCCTGATGGACTTCACTTCAGATTGAACTCCCTGCTTCCTCTTGAGGCGCAGTATTTATTACGTATAGAATAGACCATTATGTTATTATGGGTAAGGTCCCATAACAAATAATAATAATAGCTGGCTTCTCGTATTCGAGGATACCCATCTACTAGTATGGCTAGCCAATCAGTATTGCAGACGCTCGCTTAGGCACATTTGTGTTTGTTCAACACCCACAGAGCCCACCTGTGGTTTATACTGCAACTATGCTGAGCAGGCCTTAGTTACAGTTTCTGGGAGAGAGCATGTTATCTAGTGTGATCAACAATTTGAACAAGGCAAGCATGCCCAAGCCCTTAGCCATGATGACTTGTGGCGTCATGCTAGCAAGGTTATCGAGGGCTCACAAGAGTTTTGTCTACCCAATTTCACTCACAAGCCTTGGGTTAACCTGTGGTATGGTTTTCAGGCACTTTCCAAAGGAGGTGAATGATGGGATTGACCTTGATTCAGTCTGATAACATCAGGAGGTCTCCTTTCCGACAAAGGTGAGATTTGAACCTGGGTCTCATGGTCAAGAAAGCGAACGTTCTAACCACTTGGCCATGCGCCCATATACATACATACATACATAAATACACACACACAAAGACATTAAAAGTCTGTAGCCTAATGATTAATTTAATAATCTTTTCTTTTTATAAAGCAATGTCATTCAGTGGAGAATATTAATTAGATTGAATACTCCAAAATGACATCAAAATTCAGCTTAAGACTCATTAATGTACTTTTTGCAAAATATATTTATATACAAGAATATACACAACAAAAACAGAAAATTTATTTGGTAAGTATTTCTACAGCATAATGGCTAAAACAGTGGTTTCATTTCAAGCAAGAGTTCAATTCCCACTATCACACATATACGTCCACTTTTGTTGTCTGTCATCAGTTATAAGGAATTAAATAAAAAAATTTTGCATAAAAGAATAGATGTTTGCTCTTGATGAAATTAAGTACAAGATAAAAGCAGTTTAATGTGATTATAGTTGTGAGGAGGAGAGAGAGGGGAGAAGGAGAGAGAGGGGAGAAGGAGAGAGAGGGGAGAAGGAGAGAGAGGGGAGAAGGAGAGAGAGGGGAGAAGGAGAGAGAGGGGAGAAGGAGAGAGAGGGGAGAAGGAGAGAGAGGGGAGAAGGAGAGAGAGGGGAGAAGGAGAGAGGGAGAAGGAGAGAGAGGGGAGAAGGGAGAGAGGGGAGAAGGAGAGAGGGGAGAAGGAGAGAGGAGAGAAAAAAAAATGTAGTTATACCCATGACTCTACCCCCTGCCTGAATGAGAGATTTGCAGGAACTCTGCTCAAGCTCTTCATTACAAGAATTCAACAAATCCAAGTGATGGAAAAGCAAAGGAGTTTAAAAAAAATAAATAAAATATATATGAAGGAACGTACCAAAGGTAAACTGTGATGTTCCTCCTATGGAGGCACTGAAGTCAAATCCCTGATTTGGATTAGCTGCTGGCTGCTGTGTACCAGGAGACTGCCCAAAGGTAAAAATTCCAGAAGTTGCTGACCCACCAGCAGGAGTTGATGTCTGACCCGTAGGAGTGCTTCCAAACAGTCCTGTATTACCTGTATTTGAGGGTGTGGTACCACTACCTCCAAATGGTTGGGAGGTTACCTGTCCAAATAAGGGTTTGGGTTGGGGTGTAACATTGGGGCTGGCCACAGAGACGGGTGTGGAACCAAAGATGGTTGAGGTTGGCTGAGATGGTTTGTCAGTATTATTGGTTGGGGTAGCAAAAACAATTGGTTTGGCCCCAAATGAACCAAATGATGATGCCTGGGGTGATGAGAAGGCTGAGCTTTGGCCAAAAGGGGTAGGGTTAGTTCCAGAAGTGGTTCCTTGACCAAAAGTGAAGGGCTGGCTAGTCTGTTGTTGATCACTGTTATGAAAGAGAGAGGTCTGTGGCTGAAAAACAAAAAAAAGATTGAATATTCTCAAAGTTAGGATGCTTGTCTCTGTTGGTCATTGCATAATTAAAAGAAAAAAACTTAATTCCAATGAAGGATTTATTATTTAATGGAAATATTTCAGCTAGCAGTTGCTAGTCTTGGTTACTCCTTAATTTGAGTAAAACAGTACAAGGAATTTTTTTTTTTGTTTACACTTCAACTTGCTATTATGCTGTAAACGTCATCAACTCAGTTTGTTTTCCTGGATTTAAATTCTTAAGCGTTTCGAACTTCTTTGTACCGTTTTACTCAAATTAAGTAGTGACCAAGACTGGCAACTGTTAGCCGAAATATTTCCATAAAAAAGTAAATTATCTGTTGGAATTACAAGATTTTTCTTTTAATTGAATATTCTCTTTAAGCTAAAACTTTTAGAAATCATGGTACATGGAAATTAAAATATCAAAAGTTCTCAAAGACATTAACAAATCCTTCTGGAATGTCCTGCATTCTCTCTGTTGCTTACAAAGAAAATTACTTGGATGAAAGAGCACTACTGAAGTTAACTAAGTTTTTTTACAGCTTATCAAACCCATTGTCATGTTATTTAAAGCCAGAAAATATTTTAGATAAGATTTTTTTTTTTTTTTTTGAGATAATGATTTACTGATACAACACTTACTAATTAACTCATAGCTGGGGGAGGAGATGTGGGTATTTGCACAAATGGTTATAATGAAACCAACTGGAATTGGAACATGGTTTTCTGATTAAAATTTCTGAGCCGTTATCCATTACACCACTCGGTATTTTCAAGCAGTCACCCATTGAGGTACTGGCCAGGCTCAATATTGCTTAACTTTGGTGATTGTAAGGAAACCGTAGTTTGCACATAATGTGGCTGTAAGTCACTAAGGTTAACAGGCATGAGAGAGAGAGAGAGAGAAATAATAGGAAACAGGTTTTCCTATTGCCCATTTCACACTCATCCCTGGTCTTTTAAAAAAAGTAGAGGTTTATCACTTATTCCAAGTTTGGGATCAGTCCCTTCTAAAGCCTTTTCCAGCTCTTTCATTCCCAGTTGCCCCCTGTGTCTCAGTGGCATTATTGCCTTACTTGGGACAAGTTGTGTAAATTAGCATTTATTAGACCATCCTCTAAGCCATATTTGTCAGAGAAAAGAAAAATGATGTTTTATCATTTTAGAAGAGGGTAGTACTGTATCAATATTATTTCTTCACATCATCCTTAGGAGATGAATGAAAATATATATATATATATATATATATATATATATATATATAGAGAGAGAGAGAGAGAGAGATGATAGATACTTTTTCCTTTTTAAGGTCAATTTAATGACCAGGTTTTCTCATGAATCTCATCTCCAATGTTTTTAGTGTCATTAGATAACCATAAAAGTAAGGTCCTTTGAAAGACTGACCACCCAAAACTGTCCCCATTTTCTGGTTAGGGGAGCACGAATGGATGGAAAGGGGTGCTGGGTCTGTCAACCAGTATCTATATAATGAGCAGTGAGTGAAACGGTCAGTCAGTGAGTGTGTAGGGGTTTGTATTCCATGGCTGGAAGTTAGTGAGAAGTCACATAAAAGTTTGCTTTCTCATAGCAGAAGGAAGACATTACCAATTAAGTGAGAAATCGTATTTTTCACTACTTCCTGAGCCAACAAGCGGCTTAAAAAGAATTTGTTATTTCTTTATTGATGTCAATCACAGCAATAATCAAAATGAATCTGTGAAGCATAGCAAGTACCGGTGTATTCGCATACAGCCAACCTTGGATGTCATTACAGCTAATGCAGTGACATGCAGATTTGCATCATCAGTGCTCATGATATAAGTCCAGTGTAAAAATCGATCCCCCGAATTCTTAAAGGAGTATTTTTTCTTTTATTTACAAATGTCACATTTGGAACTGTGATCATTGCTAACTGCATACTACTGATGTTTCCTTTTCACCCTAATTCACAATTTCCCCCTGCTTTTTTTTTTTGTAAAAAGATTTTTTTAAACTTTGTGGGGGTAAAGAAATTCTTATTTTTTTTTTTTTTTTGTGCCAGGTAAAAAAAAAAAAAAAAAAAGAAAAAAAGATGAATTAGCACACAAAATATTTTTACTGTAGTGACATTCAAACATGATGTTCACTCTGTAAAAAGGTTCAAGAGCCATAAGATAATAAGGCCATGAAGACGCATGGGGCCATTGGAAGTCAAAGAGAAGGTAATGACTTCAGAAGGAGCCGTTCCCTTTAGCTTTGGTTGGCAGCCAGTCTAGGATGAGGAAAACTCTGAATTTAAAAAGATTATGTTCCCTTGGCAAAGTACATACTATCTGCAAGTAATGAAAGGCCCAGGGAGTTCACACTATGATCCCAATTATGCTTGGCCAAAAAAAAAAAGAAAAAAGAAGAAAAAGAAGAAGCTTACCTGCTGTCCGGTTGGCCCAAAAATATTTGTTGTTTGATTGGTTGAAGAGCCACTAAAATTAAAGCCAGATTGGTTGCTACTCTGTGACCCAAACATAGATTTCTGTCCGTCTTGGTTGGCTGAGGAGAACCCGCCAAAGGTGCTTGAAGGCTGACCAAAGATGGAAGTCGAGCTAGAAGCGGTTGCTGATGATGTGGTTGTTGTTCCAGTTGCAGACGTCGTAGAGGTGCTGCCAAAGTTGAATGTGTTTGGAGAGGTTGGGGCAGTATTGAATGTGAAGTTGAATCCAGTTGACGGTGCTGAAGTGGAAGAGGTTTGTCGAGCAGTGTTGGAATTGCTGTCAAACGAGAAAGAACCAGTACTGCTTGTGTTTGCCTGGGTGGTCTGGGTGTTGGAGGCCCCAAACAGCGGGGTAGTAGTTGATGATGCACCAAATGCAGTGGAAGCTGTCGAGGACACACCAAATGGTGAGGAAGTGGCACCAAAGGCTGTCTTTGTTGAACCAAAGAGTGGAGTGGAAACTGATGTTGTTGAAGCAAAAGCTGGGTTGCTAGATGAGGAACTTGCTCCAAATACTGGTGTAGCAGTTGAGGAAGTAGCCCCAAAAGCTGGTGTACTGGCCCCAAAGGCAGGCACAGGGGCTGATGTAGTTGCCTCAAACACTGGTGGGCTGGGTGAAGTGGCTCCAAATGCTGGCGTGCTACTGGCAGAAGTTGCACCAAATTTTGAAGATGCTGAGCCAAAGGTGCTTCCTGATGTGGTCACACCAAATGCTGGTGGGGCTTTACTTGAAGAGCCAAAAGCTGCGAGGCTTGAACTAGTCGTAGGAGTACCGAAAACAAAGTTGGCTTCAGTCGATCCTGGACTTGTAACAGCAGAAGTGCTGTCTGCAGTTGTCTTAAATGTGAAAATACCAGTAGGGTTGGACGTAGGTACTGATACTGATGAGCTTGTCTTTAAAGTGCCTGCATCACTTGGTTTAAAGGTAAACATTCCCGTGGATGGGATGTTAGAAGTGGCTGGGGTAGAGGACTGGGGTAGAGAAACTGGAGGTGTTGATTTGCCAAATGTGAATATACCTGTAGCAGGAGTAGAAGCAGCAGTTGCAGCTCCAGTGGCTGTGGTGAAGGTCTGAGCTGAAGATGCAATGAAAGGGAATAAAGATGACGAAGATGTTGATGAGATTTGTGTCTTTGGAGTACTAAATGGAGATGATACTTGTTGGTTGTCTGTTTTTGGGGTTGCAGATGAGGTTGGGGTAGCTTGGGGGCTGACAAGATTGAAGGAAAAGCCTCTCTGTTTTGGAGGGTCTTTGCTGGGTGATGAAAACAGTAGCGATCCAGCATTTGTCGTTGTCGCCGGTGTTGTTGGTGTTGTTGTCGTACCAGTGGTGAAAGGTGAAGTCTGGGGACTTGCAGCTCTGGCGCCAAACATAAATGTTGTACTGGTTGGGGCAGTGCTTGCAGATGTGGCACTTGCCATGCTGAAAGTTCCAAGACTAAAGCCTGAGGCTGTTACGTTTGTAGCAACTGAAGAAGTTGTGGAAGGAATGGATGATGATGATGATGTTGATGTGGCTGATGATAGAGCTGATGAGGTTTTTATTCCAAACTGGAAACCGCCTACGCTTGGGGACTGAACTGATGTAGTAGTAGTAGCAGCTGAGCTCCCAAACATTGACGGCTGGAATGCAGAAGCTGTAGATGTTGGTGTTAGAGATATAGAGGTTGCTGTGGGCTTTGTACCTTGAGGAGAACAAAAAAAAAAAAAAAACTCATTATGGACAAAATCATGTGGGTGACAATAGTACAGTAGTGACTAAAGATTTATACTTACCATAAATCTTAGTAACTTTAGTATACTGTGAGATCAAGATTGTTTAATTTTAATTTCATTCAAAATGAATGTTTTTGATTGCATTATATACCCCCCCTCCTGTGGGGCACCTCGAGGCAGTGCAATGGTTAGTAAGCTTGTCTCTTTAGAACAATTACAACTGAGTAGTAAGTTTGATCCTCACTGGGTGCTCCATACTGTCGGCCTTGTGCCACATCTAAATTATGCTTGGAAAATTACTCCACCTCTATTAGCATGTGTTTTTCTTTCAAAAGTATTGCCAAAAATTGATGTATTTTTATTTATTGATCCTAACATTAAAAAAATGAAAAATAAGAAACTTTTCACAGTATGTTGTTATGCATTTTTATTTTAAGAAAGAAAGATAAAAAAAAAATAAAAAAAAAAAAATTTTTATATTAGGATGAGTGATGACAGAATACATAAGGTCCTCATCTATAAAGACAAGCTAAAGAAGAACCTTTTAGCTGTTAATGTGTCTCATCCTAACTTCATGCAAAAGGTGCCAGAGTGGCATCAGAAATTCCAAGATCAGTCTTATTAATTGGCTAAGAGTTGAAAGACAAATGGCGAAAAGCACCAGCAAATATTCCTGTGGCTATGTCCCGAGATCCTCACTGTCACACAATAAGCGGACTTGTATGCAAGTCACTAGCAGGACTGAAGTATCATATATGACACAAACATAAAAGCTGAATGAGGTTTTGGGATCCTTATATATTGAAATCAATAGGAGAGTCCATTATATGTGTGTGTGTGTGTGTGTGTGTATCAAGAAAATAAGAAAAAGAACAGTCAGATTTATAATCCACAGTTCTTTAGCATTTATTTTTAAAACTAGTGCTCGATACACAGTAGGGCATAATATTATATTATTATTTAAAAATATGTAATCATTGCAACACAGAAATTACCAGGCTTCGGAACTAAAAACTAAACTTTAAATCAGGCTTAAAATTAAAGTTTTTGTTCCATTCTCAAGCTATATTGAATAACTTTCAAAAAAATGATTTACTTTTTTTTTAAGCTAAATAGCATTATATAGTTTAAGTTGGAGGGGGAAAGGAATTACAAAATTTTAAAAGGGTGGTGCCTTTTTTTTGACGAATCAGGATACAAGTCTAATTTAAGATGGCAAAGTGTAAATATAAGTTAAGGGTTAGGTGTAGGTTTGTAATTTCTGCCTGTCGATTCTGGCTTCCTTATATGAGGACGTGTCATCCTGTCTGTTTTTTTTAAGGGCATACATAAGATACACTACAATATATTGGTATTTTTAATTATTTTTTATAAAATACATTGGGATTGTCTCAAAGGGGCTTCAAATATGATTAAGTCACATTTTATACATTTATATTTTTATTTATAAAGAACTAAAATACTATATTTATTAGCATACTAGATATGGTATTGTTAAAATTAAGATTTTAAATTTAGGAATTACTCATTTTTTTTTTTTTTTATTAAGTTTTAAAGTAAACATAATGCAGTATCTACAAAAAAAGTTATTTTTTTTTCTTTGATTTAATAAATCTTTATTTTTTAGAAACTTAATAATATAACTTTTCATGTAGGCATAAAGGACATGGATCATTTAAAGTCCTACAAGATTGTAGGAGAACCAGTGTTTCAATATGATGTGACCAGAAGCCCAACTTAATAATATGTGTGGCTTGTTAAAAATTTTTCTTTTGCTCTTCAACTGTAGCCAAGAGAAGCAATAAAGTGACTTGATAAATAATCTACTGGAGTTGGGGGTTTGCTGAAAAATTCTCAACCCAACCTGCTTAGGGGATGTGCATTTTTTTTCAAGTATTGCTACACCCAGAAAAAACATTGATTATTGTAACGATTACCCAGTTACACAGCATTAATGCTTCAGTTGCAATGGGGGGGATCTAGATAAAGCCCAAAGTAAAACTTATTTTGAGAATATATTTGCCGCAGCCAGTATCTGGCCATGGAACATTCTTGCCTTTTTCAACAGAAGAGTTAAGGTAACTGAACAGAACAGTGAAAGCAAAGATTACAGGGTGCTGAATGAAAAGTTCTTGACAATTAAAATTTTCTTTTCATCACTAAACCAAAATTGTATATACACGTGTATAAGCCGACTTCATGTATCACTATACCTAGAGTTGGTCAGTTTAGCAATTTATGTTTCGGTATCGGTATCTGATTTTTTCCCTCTTCATATCGCAGTTTTTGATTTGGTTTTCAACCTTTACCACACTGCAGGTGACAATAGTTGCCGTAGAATTCTCTCCCTTTGCTACTCTAGGCGCATTCTGTCGCCTTGAGATGGTTGCTATAAATAAATACTTTTCAACAGTTATTTCCAGTGTTTGAAGCTGGAAATCGACTGCTTTGGAACGAGGTTGATCTTCTGTTTTCCAACACCATTTTGAATTCTTCTAGACTCTATACGAGGTGTGACACTGATTAAACTCACTTTAATTTTTTTTTGTGATATTTTGTAAACAAAAATGGCTGCATCAATATCCAACGTAGCCTTTATTCAGGAGATTAACACTCTGATGATGATTTTGAAGGCTTTACTTGAGATTCATCAATGAGAATATGTCAACAAGACAAATAAACATGAGTCAGGTGAAAGAAAGAGCAAACAAATGTGAGTGTCTTCTTGTATATAAACACAAGGAAACATGTCATTTTTTTGACAAAATGAAAGTCTTTCTAGCAATTTTGCTTCTTATTGCACCTCCAGAACTCCACAAAGAGTAATAAAAGTTAAAATATGTTGAATTATTTTTTTTACCACAAAAAGTTTTTTTTCAAAACTGAAACAAATAGATTTCAGACATCATGTCATATTTCCTTTTTTCTTCCTTTCTTTTGTAAATAAATACATTTCACATTTATTTCCTAAAACTAGTCAATTTAAAATGTTTTTAACATTTTTGTTCAATCTTTTTCTTTTACAATGCTATCTGTAAATGTTGATAAAATTTAATTTTATTAACATCTCAAAGTTTTTTTCAATAGTATTTCTTTGGATATGGTACTCAATAGTGATAGCACTTAAGAAGAAGAAGAAAAAAAAATAAAATAAAATATATATATATATATATATATATATATATATATATATATATATATATATATATATGTGTGTGTGAACAATTTTGGTTTCATAAAAAATTACCCAGGTATTCAATTCACAACTGTGCCATGGCATAGTGGGTGAAGGCATTGGTTAGATCCAGTGACAGGGCCCAAAGAGTTGTGAGTTCAATACCTGGTTAGGGCAGTGGAGAACTTGGAGAGATGAATTAACAGGAGATAACTGACATTCATTAGACGTGGCATGTAGAACTAGAACAGTCTATCCCAGCAAGCAAAATAGAGGGTTCAGTTTGACATTCCAATAACCTGAAGAAGGCCGGAGCGTACAACCACCGAAACGTTGTTATAAATATGACAACAACGATGAGGACAATAGTCTGAATGATGTAAAAACTGATCATAAAGGAAAAGTACTATACTTGGGTATATACAATATTAGATCATGACATAAATTTGTGTTTGATTAAAATATTAAAAACAATGAAAATCAGGCACAAACTTTTGCAATGATCTAACATTTTTTTTGTATTAATAAAACAAAGTCCCGTCTTTTCTTAAATTGCAAAGGTGAACCATGAAATTTCTATGCGTAAGGGGAGAAATGTTTAAGTAAAAGATATAAAAATGTTTACTTGTTGATGGAAGATCTGTTTTTGTGGTTTGAGGAACTGTGATAAAGGACGTCGTAGATGAAGGCGTCACTGAAGTGCTTGGAGAGCTGTTTGACTGAAGCAGGGATGACAGTGTGCTTGTTGACGGCAACATTGCTGATGATGATGTTGTTGTTGTTATTGATGTTGTTGCTGCTGCTGAAGCTGCAGAAGAAAATATTGACAAGGAAAGAGTTGGGGGAGGTGACGAGGACAGCGTGGAGGAAGAGGAGGATACAGCATTGGTTTCTTTGGCAGGCGAACTGCTGCTGGACGTAAGAGAGGCTGCTGTAGAGGATACTATAAGGCTGGTGGCTGCAGTCGTGCAGGTCAATGCTTTGGAACTTGAACTAATGGTCATGGAAGGAACGGTCAAGCCCGATGTAGTTTGGGTGGTCTCCTCACGGCTTTCAACAACTGAAAGAGATTTTAACGAAAATTATTGATGATGATATCTCTGTAAGCTACCAACAAGAAAATCAACAATTTAAGGAGTAAAAACAGAGTAAGCATTTATTAAATTTCAGTTACATCAAAGTTACAGATAATATTAAAGAAATGAAGTCATACAATTAGTTGGCAATAACTGCAGACATCAAGAAATGCCCTTACCACATAATACAACAAATAAGCACATTTTTCAAGACAGGCACCTTATTGCGATAGTGTTTATTTTTGTGTGAGTCTGTTCCCTCTTCTTGCAAACTCCTTGCAGGTCACAACCACACCAACTGATGCTATTGTAATCCTCCCTAGAATTTGAACCCTGTTTGTCTCTTCCATTCTCTTTTTACTGCTAACTGTTAGGCCAGCTGCACTTCCGTTGATAGAAAATGAAAGAGAAATTTTCGGCAACAAGTGAACCAATTCACCAGCTACAATATTTATATTTTACAAGTAAGCAGTATTTGCGTGATACTTTGGGACAAGCTGAAAAGACTACATTTTTCTTTTCCTTAATTAGCAGGAATTTAGTTAAGAAAATTAAAAAGACTGACAGACAAACACATAAATAAAAACGTGGAGTTCATAAATGACCTCCCCAGGAATTTATTCCCAAATAAGGCGGCTGCCTGGCAGTTGAAGAAGACTATTTAGTAGCAGTAAAAGTGTTTATATTTGATTTTATATAGGACGAGTCATTTGAGCCCTATGTAAATAAGGTGATCTGACTGAGGATTGGAAATCCCGCCAGAAAGGATTCAGACAAGCCAAATGATCTTACCTAATAAGGACATCATGTTTAAGTGCAGCAAAAGTCACTATATTCATTAACAGAATGGATCATTGCAGCTCTTCCCTGAATGTTTATAGATCTTTCTTTTAATGGAGTTTTCTTCTAAACCTTTAAGGCAATGTGGAATGCTAGTTTCATTATATCATTTTCTCTTTTTGTTACATAGGCTTCATATTTTTGTTGTTGTCGCAGTTGGAAGTCTTCAAATGATGTGGTTTTTGTTTATAGCTCTTTGTTTGTAGCACCCATCTACAGTGTTTGATGAATGACCCTTTTTTTTTGTTTTTTAACCTTTATCACACTGCAGGTGACAATAGTAGCCATAGAATTCTCTCCCTTACCACTATCGGTGACTTCTGTCACCTGAGACATTTGTTATAAATAAACACTTGTCAACTGTTATTTCTGGTATTTTAAGCTGGAAATAGTCTATTACTGCTTTGGAACAAGGCTAAACTTCAGTTTTCCAACACCATTTTGAAGTCTTCTAGACTCTACAGGTTAATTTTTTAAAGATTTTTTTTAAACAAAAATGGCTGTGTCAATATCCAACAAAGCCTTTAATCAGGAGTTTTTGATTAACACTCTGATGATGAGACAGTACTTGAGTAATTTCATGGAAGCTACTGGTAACCATCGATATATCTGATGGTCTTTCTGAAGGTGAATTATTTTGTCTATTTATAAATAACTTTATTTGTCAATGAGACAAATAATTATGGTTTGGTTTGTTTTGTAGCATATCAACCTCAATGGGTTATTTAATGCTAAAATTTTTTTTATTGCTGGTAATATTTTGTTTTGTCAAAAATCTATTTCTGGTAATATTTTTCCTTTAAAACATGTACTGCTGGTAATAATTTTTCCTCAAAAATGTATAGCTGGTAATATTTTTTTTTTTTTTTTTTTACACAAAGTATTTTTGTTATTAAAATCTATTTTTACACTTTCATAGTGTTTTTACCCCAGTTTCAGGGTTAACTATTTGCTGGGACCCTACCAGGTGCTACCACCCCAGGTCAGGGTGGATCTGGGAGCACCAACAATTAAGAGGTGGTTCCATGCTCCTCAAAACCTCCTGATCAGAGGCCTTGCTGCTGGACGTAGTTTATCGTCTTACCCAGGACGCAGATGAAGTTATACTCAGGACGGACAAATAATTATGAGTCAGGTGAAAGAAAGAGCAAACAAATGCTAATGTCTTCACATATATAAACATGAGGAAACACGTCACATTTTTTTTTTTTTATGAAATGAAAGCCTTCTTAGTGATTTTGCTTCTTATTGCATCCCCACAAGGAGTAATAAAAGTTAAAGTATGTTGAATTATTTATGTATTTTTTAATGCATTTATTTTATTTATTTCGCGTTTCAATTTTTTGTTTTCAATGTCAAGACATGCATGGAAAATGTAATGCATTACATCAAAATATTACTCATTCATTCTTTTATTAGTGTACAAAAATTAAAATCTATACACACAATACAAAGAAAGTTATAAAACTTTTAAAACAGTAGGTGTTCATGTTTTTGCACCCTCCATAAATGCAGTGGCAGGGGAGACAACTCTAGAAATAAAATTAGCATGGTAATAGTTTGGAAGCCATTCTTAACCACTGATTTGAGAAAATGCTTGTATGCAAATGATAGTTTAAACATTTCTCAATGAATTGGATGCTATGTAGGATATTCATAAGAAAGTTTACATCTGATGAGGCTATTTAACAACATGACAAGTTTTCAAGAGAACATTTTGGTTTTGTAACATCTTACGATACGGGACAGATGCATTCCAAACACAACTTATTCTGTATCCAGTTTCCTTATCTCTTAGATGAATCTTGTAACTGATCAAGAAACTGAGATATTTAAAATGTTTAAAATTTAGCAATTCAATGTCTCCAATTTTTATGATAGTTTTCAGGTGTAATAGGTCACCAATCCTGTTCAGATGTTTAATTGCATGAAATTGTAGAATTTGTAATTTGGAGGAACAACTAGTTGAATTGTGAAAAAAATTGAAAAATGTATGAGTAAAGAATTAGGTTTTAAAAAATAAAATGAATTTATGAATGGGTTTAAAGAATATCAAACCTAGAATTAACTAGTCAAGATTCAGTAAAATTGAGCAAAATTAAGGTTACCTACCCTATCAATTTCCCGCCTATAAGAAGATATGATTAATGTATTGTCTAAATTTTTAGGTCCTGAGAAATTAAATTTTGGGTTTTGTTTACATTCATACTATCTGACCAAAATGTATATATTCTTACAGAAAAGAGTGACTCAAATTCTTTTAAAAAAAAGAAGACATTTAGGTTATGCCTAGATTCCAAACTTGGGATTGGTTTACATTCATACTGTCAAAAACGGATGACTGAATTCATCCTTGTGTAACAACTTTTACTTTTTTCTAGATAATGTAAAACTGTTCCAATATATTAGGGATGCTAAAGAATGAAAAAGTTTTAATTTTAAAATTTTATTTTTTTTCTGATTTTTGATGAAAATTTGAAAACTGACACAAGCTGATGTTCACTTTGCTTGGGCATCACAGTGAAATGATGATGCCAGCATGCTATGTGTCCAAACTTTGTAAATCAAACTTGCTAACAACAGCCAGCCAAGTTCTGTCTGCTGTCAATCATACGCTGATGGTATCCACCAGGAGATGCAAGGACAAGGAGGGATGGCTGTGTGTCGCCGTCCAGTGTGTGGCGCACATGCACGTAGTGCATTGACTGCTGACTCACTACTGTCCATTGTATAAGCAGGCACTGCTGCCAACTGACATCCCCTAGTATCTTATTAGAAAGACTGACTTGTGTGACAACTTCTGCTTTTGGGTCAACAACATGGCGGTTGGTACATGCCCGGTCACCACTGCATGTCCAAACTTTAACTTTGTTGATCTTGCTTGGTTGAAGAAGAAGAAGAAAAAAAAAAAAAAGACCATGTACAAATAATATGAAGTGAATGTTGATAAAATCTTCTTACCATTTTTTTCAGAAAGTATATCTGCACCTGGAACTTTCTTTTCTGTGGCTATTCGATCAAGCATCTTTTCAACTCGTTCCTGTTCAGCTTTGCGGTCATTTTCATAGTCTTCTTTGGTTGCATAAACATTGGCATAAGATAACTGGGGAAAAATAAAAAAAATTTGTCAGAATAACAGAAAATAGTGAATCATTAAAATTTAAAACAAAACAAGTCAGAATAATTTTAAGCATTTTATCAAAGAAATCAATTCCCAATGATGACAGTTTATCAGAAGGTTTTGTACATTTTGATATTTCCATACTGATCTATTTATTCATACTTTTTATATTTGGATTATTATTTGCATCTTTGTTCTTATATCATCTAGTTTTTATTTAGTACTGTTCAATTATTGCTGGCCTGTTTCCACTGAGTGCAAAGTACACACTTCCTGGCCCAGGGATTGAATTCACAATCACTTGCATATTTGTTCACAAAAAATTATCAACAGTAAAAATTTAAGCCTAGATAAAGCTCTCAATTTTTATTTAGGAGTTAGATTCTTGGATTTGGTAAAGATTGCTTAACAGAAAATGGAATTGGTGAGCAGTGATTAAATTCTGACCGAGACAACTTGTGTTCACTTCATATCATTAATCTTGGGAATGGCACAACTCCATCCTTACTTACCCTAGTTGATTAGCAGAGTAGGCTGCATTTATTGTCCTATAGTCTAGGAGAGGGGCAATTCCGATTTCAAAACAGAAGAGAAGCCAACAGGAAAAGAAAATCATAGCAATGCAGTTTACAGATGTTAAAGGAAAGGAAGCTGTGGTGAGTCAATGACTGCACATGTCCTGGGATGACATTGCATTTACTAATCTTCCGTCTTTTAGAGAAAAGGAATTTAGGATTCACAAGAGACATGCGTGTATATATATATATATATATATATAGTAAAGGTAAAGGTAATAAATAAATATTTTATATTACTAGGATTCAAGTGGCTGGCTGACCTTTGACCCAGATGTCAAAGTCAATTTGGTTTAATTTTCCTTATCGCTGCTATTTTTAAAAAACAAAAAACAAAAACAAAACAAAAAACCAAAAAAACTTTTGGTTTTTGGTGGTTAGGAATTGCAGATAAATCTTGCCTTTTACTAAAGATTTCTGTGGCCAGGTGTCAATTTTTTTTTTAACCCATGGCAGTCATATAATTGAAAATTACCAATGGATTTTGTCACATTTTGACCCCTCAGAATGTTGATTTCCTTCAAAACTCTCAATTTTATGCCTGAAATAGTTTGATTATGATTTAGGCTGATTTAAAAAAAAAAAAAAAATAAAAAAAATAAATAAAATGGTTAATTTCCCATTAATGGGGAAAATATTTGTTTAGAACAAGAAAAAAATGCAAAATTTTCACTATTTTTTCACATTTTACCCACTGAAAAAAAATTTCAGTCATTTACACCAGCCAATTTTACTTTTAAATGAAAGAATATATCCTTTGCTTTCAGAAAATACCTAGTTTCATGGGCTTCAGATCAAAAGTTTCCTTGATATTAGTTTAGGTGATGATAAAACAGTCAGTTTTCAATATTTTACCCCTATAAAAGTATGAAAATCCATTTTTTGAGAGAAAATAAACTGTGACAGAATGACTTTTGCCATTTTTGTGATGATTTTCACTTGGAAAAGAAAATTGTTACCATAGCAAACATGAATTGACTTTATTTAAGTTCAGTGGGACTAGGAAACCTCAAACAGTTGTTATATAAAATATATATATATATATATATATATATATATATATATATTTTGTGTATTTACACAGCAATCATTTTTAAATGCAAGTATCATTAAATATGACAGACAAGGTGCTTGGATTAAGTTTTTTTTATGTAATTTCTCATGTGATCTTTTTTTTTTTCTTTTCAGTAGATAAATTATACAAAAACTGTCCAAATGCTGTTTTTTTTTTTTTTTTTTTTGACTGCTTTTGGCTATACATTTAGCCATTTTCAAGGTTGAAATATATTAACTGTTAACTAGAAATATTATTATTGTATATATATATATATATATATATATATATATATATATATATATATATATATATATTAAAAAGAAGAGGGTGCATTAAACGTTTTTGGTTGTAATGTGGATTTATTGAGAAAAAATATTATACTTTGTTTTACATAATTTCCGACACATGTTTCTGGTCTGGTCTCGAACCGCCTTCAGGTGAAAGTGGAGATTTTTACATATTAAAAAATAATTAATTTTTCTTCATGTTCAATGTGGAATATTCTCGATATGAGACATTCTGTTTGTGTGTTGGCAATCGAATTTTCTTTCTAGAATTGTCAATGAAGAGTTCTGTGTGAAGGGTCATAAAACAATTAAGGTTTGTCCATTTAGTAGTTATCGGCATTTAATCTTTTAATGTTTTAGTGACCTCTATGTGCTCTTGGATCTGTTTTATTTTGGCGTGTTCCTGTCAGCATGCGTGTATATATGCGTGCGATATTTTCCTTACTACGAGGAATTCGTAAACTTATTTGTACTTATACACGCATACACACACATACGCACATACACACTATCCCACCACAAGTAGTCAGTACACACACACATATACACACATATTTCCCAAGCTACATGGAACTAGTACACACACACACACACACACACACATACACAACTACCCCACAACACTAATAAACAAAGGTATTGAACTCGCGAAAGAAATTCCTCTAGACCAACTTAGAAATAAAAAGAAACGTAACGTCGAACAAACTCTAGCATATGTCTCAACGTACAACAAAAACAACCCAGAAATATTCCCAGAAATCACAAAAAATCTAGATTTACTTAGCAAGAATAATAAACTAAATAATATACTAAAAACAACCAAAATAATTAAGAGCAAAACGCCAATCTAGAAACCTAAAACACATATTAACCTCATCTAAATTTAGTCAACACAAAATACAGGGAGTCACAAATGCAACAAAAAAAGATGTGGAGTTTGTGACATCATTATAGAAGGAAACTCCTACACTTTTGAAAACCCAAAAAAACATTCACAACAATAAACAAAAACTTAAACTGCAACTCCAAAAATGTAGTTTATGCACTTAAATGCACAAAATGTAAGAAGTCATATATAGGCATCAGCCAACAACTGAACAACAGGGTCTCCCTACACAAAAGCAATATAAAATTGACAGACAACAGAAAACTTTTTGTATCACAACACATTTTCAAATGTAACCAGGGTAAGTTTAATATCATGCCGATATATCAAACAGACAATTACTTGTATCTACAAATACAGGAAAAAAAACTTTATAGACAAATTCAAACCTGAACTGAATAGATCGTAGACCCCCCAAAAAAAAAAAACATGCACACAGGGTGACCAAATACAATGATCGCTCACATACATGGACGCACACTCATATACGGGAGACACGAGGAGATATATATGTGTATGTACACATACATACATACATTTATGTATGTATATGCGGATGTTGACAACTTAAGAAGTACGTGTGTGTGTGCGTGTGTATGTGTGTGTGTGTATGTACTGGTTCCATGTAGCTTGGAAAATATGTGTGTATATGTGTGTGTGTACTGACTACTTGTGGTGGGATAGTGTGTATGTGTGTATGCGTATATAAGTACAAATAAGTTTACTTAATTCCTCAGTAGTAAGGAAATATACGACGCATATATACACGCATGCTGACAGGAACACGCCAAAATAGAAACAGATCCAAGAGCACATAGAGGTCACTAAAACATTAAAAAGATTAAATGCCGATAACTACTCGCTGGACAAACCTTAATTGTTTTATGACCCTTCACGCAGAACTCTTCATTGACAATTCTAGAAAGAAAATTCGGATTGCCAACACACAAACAGAATGTCTCATATCGAGAATATTCCACATTGAACATGAAGAAAAAATTAATTATTTTTAATAATATGTAAAAATTCCACTTTCACCTGAAGACGGTTTGTAGACCAGACCAAAAACACGTGTCGTGAAATTATGTAAAACAAAAGTATAATATTTTTCTCAATAAATCCACATTACAACCAAAAACGTTTGTGGCACCCCTCTTCTTTTTTTAATATACATACTTTTTCTCTCGTTGGAACCACTACAACATATTTTTTTTTATATATATATATATATATATATATATAAAAATAAAAACTTCAAACTTGTTTATTTTTTTTTTTAAGTGGATATCAGTGTCTGGTAGATGCTATTAAATGAGAAAAAAAAGAAAAAAAGAGAAAAAAAAGAGAGAAAAAAGAGAGAAAAAAAAAGAGAGAGAAAAAAAGAGAGAAAAAAGAGAGAAAAAAAGAGAGAAAAAAAAAGAGAAAAAAAAAAAAAAGAAAAAAAGAAAAAAAAGAGAAAAAAAAGAGAGAAAAAAAAGAAAAGAAAAAAGGAAAGCAAAAAAAAAAAAAAGAAAAAAAAAGAAAAGAAAAGAAAAAACTTCACAATAGGTTCTATTTGCCTGTGAAGCACACTTATTTGTCCAGATTTCTCAAAATGCATATCTACTCAGTTTCGTATCCCCAAAACACACACAATGTCCTAGTACTTCAAACAACCAAACAAAACAAAGTGCTTACGTCATACTAAATGTTACTTCCTAGTGTGAAATTTCAACATCAACAAGAATGTTCTTTTGTAACCTTCAGCAAACTTGCTAATTGGGCAAAAGCAAGATACTCATTAAAAAAAAAGTTAAAAGGATGAGGGAAATAAAATACTTACTCTATCCAAGTTGATGCCTGGTGTGGCAAAACTAAGATGTTTTCTTCGTGACCTTAGATCTGGCGTTTTAGATTCACCAGCGCTGGTATTGGCCTGAAATTAAAATAAATAAAAAGTAAAATCTATTTTCCAATATAAAAGAATTTGACTATATATATCTTTGAAAATCACACAACACTTTTTAGTAATAAGATATAAAGTTGTTCTGGTTATAAAAAACAGTATTCAAAGCCAGTAAGTAAACAGGCTTTGTTAGCATAACAATGGAATATCTCATTTTTATTTCTTTGGATATTTATACTTTTAGTGACCAAAAGGAAAAGATTCTTTAACATATGAATAGTAAGTTAATTGGAAAGAAAAAAAAAGAAAAAAAAAAAGAAAAAAAAAAAAGAAAAAAAAGCCCTACATAAATGCTAAAATTCATTTTTCTTAATAGGAAGTTACTAAACAGCCTTAGAAATTTATTGAATGTATATTTTTTTAAAATTTTATTTGCAAGTCAATAGCTGCAAAGCTGTTTTCAGGATTGTGGAAACAGACCTGTGTCTCTTCCGACTGGTGATCAGTAGTTGCCATGGAAACCAAAGGTTGACTGGGATCAGCATCACTTTTTGCAGCCTCTGTTACAGACCGATTCAATTTGGTTGATTTGCTGAAAGGGGGGAAAAAAATAAAAAAAAAAACAAAAAAAAAAACAACTTAATTCACATATCAACACAATTTATATGAAAGGGGTCACACATGAATGCATTGTCATTCATGGATCAGCAACAATTGACTACAAAAATAAGTTATTTCAGTCAGGTTTTTATCAAATATAAACATTATACACACACACACACATATATATATATATCACACCCGTGAAAATCCAATTTTAATATTATGATGAATTATAAGTTAATGATTGAATAAGCCCATGGCGAGTTCTACAACAATAAAGTATCTACAGAAATTCTATCGCATTGTTAAATATTTGAGTTTAACAACTTTAATGAAATATTGCAATAACAATCAGAAATATGAATGTTGGTTGTTATCTTAAAAAATAAGGAGGTACAAATAAAAAGATTTGAAATTAACAACTATTTCCATTTCACTGAAACATATTAAACACTTCTATCTCCCCTTCCTTCTTTCAATTTCTTACTGAAAACAAGTAGTATCTTTTCTCTTCTTTCCACACAATCAAATCAGAATAATCCATTATTTATGAGGTATTGGCAGGGTGTAATAGTTGTGTTCAATTCAAGAGAAAAACAATACTTCAATAAATAAAAAAAATTATTAAAATTTGTAGATTTGAGTTTGAAGATTAATTTAATTCCTTGTTTATACGCGCATACTCTGCTCTCTCTTTCTCTCCCATATATATATTTTATAAATCCTTGGTTTCAGCATTACAGTATCCTCTGGTGATTTTTTATCAATTGACCTCTCAACGCTTAAGGAAAAAAACTAAAAGAATGCTATATTATTTTTAAAAATAAATAAATAAATGAATACATGGCATTGAGTGTGATAGAAAAGGAGGAGGAGGATGCGAGAAAGAAAGAGAAGAAGAAATGGAAGGGTATTATAAATGTTTCAGTGGCTTTTAATTGAAATGTACATACTCTTTTTAATGAGCCTCATATGAGCTTAAGAGGATTTTTTTTGTATGAATGCAACGGTTCATGACAAAGTGTTGGGAGGTCAACTAAGAAAAAATTACCAGAGGATACTGTAAGGTTGAAACCAAAGTAGCAAAATTAACTGATCTGCTAATTTTTTAAGTTAAAAGCTCTACATGTTACTTTTTTTTTTTTTCACACATGTATTGAGCACTTTTTAATACTACTATTCCCTGGTCCAATTCAACCCTGACCATTAAAATATATATATATATATATATATATATATATATATATATAGATCCGACAGTATGAAGAAAAATATACTAAAAAAAAAAAAAAAAAAAATATCCTAATATGCGATTATGCTGTTTTAATGTTTAATGTCAATGTCGGACGTTTCGGTCCAATAGACTATCTTCAGGACATGTTCATATTCATATTGTAAATTATTGTTGCAACTGCATTCAGTCAAATGAGAAGTAGTTCTACAGCAGATACAAACATTTACAAGATGCCATATTGCCAAAGTAAATAGGCTAATTTCCTTTGTACAAAGAGAGGGTGCCATCTTGCAAAAGAAAACAAAGATGTGTGACCATGCGCATAGTGCTAAAATGAAGGATCAAGGGTAACAATGAAGGTAACAAGCAAAAAATAAATACAAAACAGGGTTTGGTTGAAAAAAAAAGAAAAAAAAAAAAAGAAAAAAAAAAAAAAGAAATAAAATAAAATAGCCCACAAACTCATTCTCTTTGCTTAAAAATAAAAAAAGTAATGCAAAAGCAACCAAAATACAAACCTAGCAGGCTTCTCAAAACTTTGATGATTGTCACTAGAATGCGTCTCCTGGTTCTCCTTGGAAGCATTAGGTTCCTGTAACTCAGGTGAATCCGGTATTTTTCTCTTGCCAGTCTCTTTCTGGGAAAGAAGAAGAAGAAAAAAAAAAAAAAGACCAAAAGGTTAATAAAATAAAAATGTACAAGTATTGACTAAATTCGTGTGGCAACCAATGGACAATCCAACTCACTTCAGTCGTAATGGCTTACAAATCAACCTTGCTAACCACTGTTCTACATTTAAGGAAGAAAATGTATCGAATGGTTTTGCACCACCTCCCCAAACAATAAAACCCTTTGGCTGTGAAATAGTCAGAATCATGGCTCTCTACAGCTTCCTTTCTTTTATTGCTTTATGACTTCTGTATCTCTGCTACTTATTCCACTCTACTCCAATTTATAATGTTGGTGCTTTCTCTTTGTTTTAGATATATCCTGGGAGTGTTAAATTTGCCATACTTTCTTTCCTCACTCATTGTGTGTCCCACACCACTTCCAGGATGGCAACTGCTCTAGGTTTTATCTTTAACAGTAGAAAACATATCAGAAAAATGTGCAAGTTCTGGTGCAGCACGTGAAAGCTGCATGCATCCCCAGGGAATGCAGCAACAGGACCACTAGCAACTGATGTGGATGATCACCATCTAATGAAGGGAAACATTGCATGAAATCATAATCCCAATTCAACATTGATGCTGCTCAACCCATCAGTCAACATATGAATTTTCTAATTCTTGACCAACAAGGGTGTCATTGTTAACACAATGACATTATTTACTGTATCCCACTTAGGCCAGAGAACAACATCATGGCACCGTGCAAGATGAATTTCTAGCTCTACTAAGTTTATGGATCCATCCTCTCAGCATCTTTAATTTCCAGTAAATGGCAATTAGCTATTTCCCCCATAAGTGGGCCAGTACAAACAGGCAACAATGTCATAACAATGAAGCAATGAGAGTCTTAATATGTTGTTAAAAAAAAAAAAAAAATTAAAAAAAATAAAAACTTGCTTCCAAGGTCCAATTAGTAACTCCAAAAGATTATCTGCCTTTTTTATTCAAGTGAAATTTGCCCTCAGCCAAGTGTTGATGACATTGCATCAAGGTAAATAAAGAAATTACAATAGCCTAATGAATTAAATACTTGTTTGTGAGTTCAATCTCTGGGTTGGGTAGTAGAGAATTCAGTGGAAACGGGGGCAAGCACCAACTGAGCAATACTAAATAAGAACGGAAGAGACATTCTCAGATATGAACAGCAGAACGAGAAGTCTACCCATACAGATTAAATAAAGGGTTCAGTTTGAAATACCTTTAAGGTTTCCCAGAGCAACAGACACCTGAAGAAGGCTGGAGAGCAAAATGGTTGAAACATTGTGATAAGATGAGGAATATATTCTGGATGTATAAAATAGTAATTCTGCTTTCCAGAAATTCAGATAGAAATTAAATAAAGTCCCCCAAAATTTAAATGAGGGGATAATTTGTGTTTTCTTAGTTAATTGCTGAAATACACCATTATATATGAAAACATCTAGGATGCAGATTTATATTTTGATAAGATTCAATAGTGGCACTCTCAAGAATTTTCCTTTTAAGTAAATTATTTTCTCCTTTAATAAGTATGGCATTCTTCAGCTTAAACTTCAAGATAAATTGTGTAGAAGATCCCTTTTGTATTCAGAGATTGTCTTTTTTTAAATTTCTGCAAGTTTCTCCAATGCATTGCAAGGAGCAGTTATAGCAGATTATTTTATTTATATTGGCTTCCACTAACTCTATAACATCCACTATTGAAAACAATTTATCCACTCTTAACAACGTTAAAATAATTACAACCACATCCAAAATTATTATAGATATGATCAAAACCAAAAATGTTAATTACAATAATAATCCTGAGGGAGGTATACATAAAATAAACTGCTCCTTACAATACATTGGAGAAACTTGCAGAAATGAAGAACACAAGAGGAATCTTATAAATAACAATCTATCAAATGCATTAGTTATACATAGAAATAAATTCAAACACAGCTTTGATCTAAAGAATGACACACTTATTAAAAGAGAAAGTAATTTACTTAGACAGAAAATTCTCAAGAGTGCCGCTAATGAATTTTATCAAAACCATTGTGTGTGTGTGTGTATGTGTGGACATTGAGGTCAACAGTCAACAGTGACAGTCTGTCCACATTTAAACATAATTATCAAGCCATGTGTGTTGTGTCTCAACTATTTATAAATGCTGGTTAATGGTACATTATGGGTAGCAAGGTCTATTGTATTGTCCTAATATTGGGTGGTCAGAAACAGTTATGTTTCAAATTATTCTAGAGACAATGGAATAGAAATAATTGTGGGCCTGAATGCAGTTATTTATAGCTATTTTAGTGTTGTTTGTTAACTTTTTAGTTATCTTCAATTATGTTATTGATTATTATTATTACGTTTGTGTCTTTATATCTTATACTAGCCTTGAAGCCACTCTTTGAGCAGATTTTACACTAACTCCTGTGGAGGGCTTTTTGGGCTTTTAGTCTTTTACCTTCAACGCCCTATGTACATAAAAGTTATAATTTAGAAATAATGAAATTATTTTATTTTTATTCAGCACCTTAATTCAGCATAATCTTTCTTCATACACGCAACTGATCTCCATATTTTATTTACATTTATTTTGTGTGCAGTTTTTATTTTCTTTTAAAAATCACCATTCGTTATAATTACTTCACATAAAGGAATCGTGTCGAATAATTTCACCAGGAACGCTTGTGGTATGGAAGACATAACTTCTTGTATTTGTCCTTCAAGTTCTTCCAAAGTCTTGGTTTGGTATAGTAAATACTAGATTTTCCTTTAACCAACCCCAAAGAAAAAAAAGTCCCAGGGGTTATGTCAAGACTCCTGGCTGGCCACTCATACAGAAAATAGGAGAGTTACTTTTCAATCATCTATATATATATATATATATATATATATATATATATATATATATATATATATATATATATATATATATATATATATCTCAAGAACAGTTTTGGAGTAAAGATGTATGACTTTTTCCATTTGTTTTATTTATATATATATATATATATATATATATATATATATATATATGGATTTTTTTTATTTATTAAAAGCAACATATTTATCACGTGTTAATGGATACCTATATTTGAGTAGACACTCACGTTTTTCTTATTTCGCCTACTGGCTTGAATGTTTGAGAAATTTAATAAAAGCAGCATCCTCTTTGCAGGAGAAACCACCGTTAGATCCAACGTGCTGTAACTGACTTGACTATGAAGATTATTGCAATTAAGCCAAGTTGTACACTACTCTTAAGCAAGCACATCCGTCTTGTTTAGATTCCTGAAAGTTCATAACTGCTCAGTTTCGTATCCTAACATAAGCAAAGCAATTTCTAAAGTAAAAATGGATATGTAGTTTATTAATCTGACATATTTTTATCACTTTATAATGTTATTTTTACTGCATGCCCATATTTGATTAGACACTCCCTTTATTTAAAATTGTATTTTACTGCATCTAGTAGCCTGAATAATTGAGAAATCTTTTTAAATTTTCTTTAATGATATCTTGAATATTCAGTAGACAAAATAAGAGTTTAAAATAAATGGAAAGTCTACTCAAATATGGATATCCACAAAAAATAAAGTTTAAAGAGATAAATATATGTATATTTTAGGGGAAAGAAGTATGACAAAGTAGAAAAAGTTTTTGTGTGATGTATTTTGCTCTTTAGGATTTCATTGATTTATGTTGATGCGAGTACACATGTGCACGAAAGAAAAGAGGAAAAAAAAAAAAAAAAAAAAAAAAAAAAAAAAAAATTTTTAAATATACGTTTTGGGTTTATATTTTTTCACTGTCAGACTGGTAGATCTAAATAAATAAATATACTGTTTAATCTATATAATAAATGCAAAAATCTGTGTCACATTTTTTCAATTAAAGGGACACAACTCTCTAACTTTTAAAAATCTCATCTTATTCTATATAAATAAATGCAAATGTCAGTATGTCACACTTCAACTTTACTCCTAGGGGCTGTAGCCCAACATATCATACCATTTTCGAATCAGACTGACTGTGAGCAAATTAAAAACGTTCCATGATGGATCCAGACTGGCAATCCCGAAATTTTGGATTCCTAACTTTTCATTACAGCGATTGTTTCTGGCGATTATTTTATGTGATTTTTTTTTGTGATTAATCTTTTTCTACAATAGCAGTTTTTATAACTTGGAAATAAATTTGGGAATAATCAAAATTAATTGCGAAATCCAGCAGAAGCCCCCCATGAAATAAAAATAATTGTTTGTACAGAAAGTAAGGACCTATGTACATCAAATTGCTTTTAAATTAAAATCGCAGCAGAAGAATTACCATTGAACTTTTAAAAGGTAAGCTTAAATATTAATGTGATGCTTAAATGCAGCGATTGATTTTGAGTTTTTCTGTAGTTTATTGTTGCCTATTGCATACGGAAGCAATATGCCTTGCAAAAAGAAATCTCTGCCAAAAAAGGACCAGATTGCAATCAAAAGAGTCAAAGCTGCAGTGAGGAAAAGAAAGCCATGTGCAAATGAGAATCCTGATCAAATGGTAGCCAGGACAGCTTCCAATGCTGAGAATATTCCAAGACTTAGGCACTCTTAAACTCCTGAACAATCTGAAGGCCCAATCAAGAGCCCGCCACAGGAGCTAGCTTAAATGCTGCCCTATAAGACGGTTTTTAAGCTAGTAAATAGATAAAAAACAGAGCATCTACTCAAACACGAGCATCCATTTAAAAATAATGTTTAAACAAATAAAAAATGTCAGATTTAATTCATTCCCTTACATGGCTGAGTTGGTCTAAGGTATGTCAGATCTAATGAGGATTTCCGATAGGGGATGCAAGTTCGAATCTTGGTGGAGGACGCATATTTTTCTAAACAAGAATTGTCATTTAAATTATGCAAAAATGAAAATAACACCAACATCTCACTTTAACAGATGACTTCCGAATCTCCTGCAACTTTTCTGGACAGTCTCCTTGTATAAGTTGGCAGATGCTGCCATAATTCTTGCCTTCAGTTCATCTTTGGTGTTACAAGGAGTTTTGTTGGTCTCTCGCTCAGCTGTGCCCTACACATAATAATCAAGATGGTTGCAGTCTGGGGAGTTAGGTGGCCAGATGTGAGGGGGTGATGTGGTCGCAGAAATTGTCTGACAGCCATGACTGGGTTCTCCTACTTGGGTGGCATGGTGCAGAGACCTGTTACTAGACACAGGGTTTTCTAGCAGCCATCTTCTTGACTCTGGGTGGTACTGCCTCCTCAAGGCACTTGATGTGGGCCTCCATGTTGAGTGAGGCCCTGTGGGAAGAGGACTGGAGGCATAACATCATCATCGCTAGTGATCACTCCAAACATCATGATGTTGACTGGATAAATCATCCAACTCTTTCTGAATTCTCTGCACTGTCCTCAGATAGACATCTAAACACTCTGAAATGTTTATATTGGAGCTTCTGGTACGAATACTAAGCAGTACAGCATGCTAATCCCAAATTTCTGGCAGAGTGAATTGTGCCATGGTGGTCTATTTTTCTCACAGACGTTGCCCAACTGACCCTACTATACTGTGCAGTCGACAAAATCAAAAACACCAAGCAGGCGTGAAATTAAGATAAAATGGCAACAACTTACCCATTGCATTATATATACGTGTGTGTGTGTGTGTGTGTGTGTAAATGAGAGAGAAAGAGAGAGAGAGAGAAAGAGAGAAAAAAAAAAAAAAACTTACCTTGTGAAGCCTGTATCTTTGACTGGAACTCAAGGAGCTCAGAATGGGATTGTTTTTCACTTCCTGCCGGGGCCTCTTGGAATTTGGGGAATTCTCTGATTGTGACAAATGGGCACAGGGTGCTACTGGTCGTTTAACACCAGTGCCCATGCCACTGCTACCAGCTATCACTCCAGAGGAAGGATTCGTTACAGACCCACTGCTACTCGCCACAGATGATGGCACCATATAGCGTGAGGTAGGAGACATGTACGAAGAAGGGGTGAAGTTGCAGAGAGACAAGTCTGGGAGAAAATCTGGCAATGAGGGCATAGATGAGGAGGAGGCCGTGGAATGGTTACTTTCTTGTCGCCTGAAATAGAGAATTTTTTTTTGAATATTGTAAAAAGTTCAGAAGAAAAAAACAAAACAAAACAACAACAAAAAGACTAACTAAGAAAAATTTAAAATGTACCATACAACCGAGATATAATAACTATAGATAAATGTATGGAACTGGACATATTTGTGTTTGAAAAGATGTTTTAACTTTATAAAAGAGTATGATGAAATAATTTGATTCACAAAATGCATAGGTGGAGAAAATACCAAAATTTAAAATATATAAATAAATGGAAAATAAATATTAACAAAAATCTGCAACAGAGGAAAAAAAAAAGAAGACGGTGAAAAAAAAAAAAAAAAAAAAACGGTGGCGGTGAGGGAAAAAAAAGGTGGAGAAAAAGGAGAAATGAAAAAAAAGAAGATGATGATTGGGGGGGGGGATGTCCCCCAAAGATGTAGCTCTTGGGAAGTAGCTGTTCAAATGGAACTTCCTCCTTATCAATGGAATGTAATAAGAATGAGGATGTTTTGCATGGCAGGTCTTTGTAAAAGATTTTAATATTTTTCTTCCACTTGAGCCACAAATACACACAACCCTTGTTTTGAATTATTAATAGGTTTTATCGCAATGAATAGCACCTGTTAACCTAGTCCCGGTATTCTAAAATGTTTCTAATGACTTGTGTCCAGAAGACATTTTTAAAACCAAAATGTTGGCCATTGACATAGTTGCTATAAAGCTTTAAGATTGGGGGATCAGATCTGCAAAGACTGGAATTATTATTTTATATCCCATGAAGAAACTTAAAAAAAAGAAAGAAAGAATAAAAAAAAAAAAAAAGGTACAATAATTACTTCATATGCAGTACAAAAAGTTTATTCTGCCACTGAAGGTAACTGATTCCTGAACAGCATATTTGAATTTCATGTGTTGTCATATCCTGCTATGACAACAGAAAATAACTGAGTGAAATTAACAATAAGGATACTACAATTGAGAGGCCTTGAAAGACAATGAAGTAGAAAAGGAAGAAATATTAATAATGCAGCGTACTAAAGGTCATTAAAAAAAAAAAAACAAAAAAAAAAAACACGTGTAAACTGAAAATATGGCCTCACCTCCTTTTTGCTGTATTATTTACACTCTCAAACATGGAATCCTCTTCACTACCTGTCATATTTGAACGTTTTCGCCTGAAAAGAAAATAAAAAAAAAATGTCAGACAATTTTTTGCAGGAGAGAAAAAAAGGGAATGACGTGTTTTTGTCTTCTCTGTCATTTTTTCAGAGAGAGATTATTAAGAGAATGAACTGACAGATGTAGAATAACCTTCAAATACTCAGAAAAAAAAAAAAAAAAAAAAAAAAAAAAAAAAAAAATCACTCTGGAGTCATTTCATAAGGCAACAAGTTTTTTTTGTAAACAAGTTTCATGCCTTAATTTCAACTCAAGATGGAGTATTTTCCCTTTTATTATAAATTGCAAAAATTATTAACATACAAGTTGACCTCAAAATTTCACTGTTAAAAATTCATTTTAAATCTTATGTATCACTTTTTTTATTATGGATATTTTTTTAAATTTTTGTTTTTATTTCTGTAAACGCATATATAAAACTTATTTTCCATTCATTTCCCAAATGGAAATCCCTAACTCAGTTATCTTTACCTCTTCTCTTTTTACATGTTTTTTTTTTTTTCTAATAAAAGACTACAATGCTGTTCAGACTCACCTGGATCCCTCAAAAAGACACTTCTCTATTTTGATTCATGAAAAATCCTAACCTCAGCCAAAAAGTAATTATTGAAACAACTTTTTGCATAGTGGTAGACTAGGCCTCCCTAGCCTTGGATGGGACTCGGTCTAAGAGAACGGCTACTCCCCCTGAATTCAAAACTATGGAGAAGGTAACAGGAAACCACTCCATTATTTTTCCGCAGACATCATGACAATTCACAGATAATCAAGAAAGAGGAAAATGTGAAGAGCCATAGTCATTTATATATCAAAAGGTATTTATAGAAACAGAGAAAACAGTCAACAGTAGGAGAGATCAGAAACCCCTACCTTGAAAATACCTTAAGAAATACTTTACTTACGTCCCTTCCCGGAGGGCTGAAAGCACATCACTTGTATCTGGAGTTATTGGGAAATCCAGATCTTGTTTAAGTGATGTAAACCTGAAATTTAAAAAAAGGAAAAATTGCAACGTGAGAATTAGCAATTTACAAAGAAGGAAAAAGAAAGAAAGAAAGAAAGAAGGAAAAAGAAAGAAAGAAAGAAAGAAGGAAAAAGAAAGAAAGAAAGAAAGAAGGAAAAAGAAAGAAAGAAAGAAAGAAGGAAAAAGAAAGAAAGAAAGAAAGAAGGAGAAAGAAAGAAAGAAAGAAGGAAAAAGAAAGAAAGAAGGAAGGAAAAAGAAAGAAAGAAGGAAGGAAAAAGAAAAAAGGAAAGAAAAGAAAGAAAGAAAAAAGAAAGAAAGAAAAAAGAAAGAAAGAAAAAAGAAAGAAAGAAAAAAGAAAGAAAGAAAAAAGAAAGAAAGAAAAAAGAAAGAAAAGAAAAAAGAAAGAAAGAAAAAAGAAAGAAAGAAAAAGAAAGAAAGAAAAGAAAAAAAGAAAAAAGAAAGAAAGAAAAAAAAAGAAAGAAAGAAAAAAAAGAAAGAAAGAAAAAGTAAAAAAAGAAAAAAGAAAGAAAGAAAAAAGAAAGAAAGAAAAAGAAAGAAAGAAAAAAAAAGAAAAGAAAAGAAAGAAAAAAAAAAAAGAAAAAAAAAGAAAAAAAAAAGAAAAGAAAAAGAAAGAAAAAAAAGAAAAAAGAAAGAAAGAAAAAAAAGAAAGAAAGAAAAAGAAAGAAAGAAAAAGAAAGAAAGAAAAAGAAAGAAAGAAAAGAAAGAAAGAAAAAAAAAGAAAGAAAAAAGAAAGAAAGAAAAAAAGAAAAGAAAAAAAGAAAAAAGAAAAGAAAAAAAAGAAAAGAAAAAAAAGAAAAGAAAAAAGAAAAGAAAAAAAGAAAGAAAAAAAAGAAAGAAAAAAGAAAGAAAAAAGAAAGAAAAAAAAGAAAAAAAGAAAGAAAAAAAAGAAAAAAGAAAGAAAAAAAAGAAAGAAAAAAAAGAAAAAAAGTTTAAGTCATTCAAGCTCTTGAAAAACAAAACAAAAAAACAAAACAAAACAAAAAACAAAAAACAAAACTGCATCACATATTCTGTATTGTTATCATTTTCCTTATTAGTGAATTTACAGTGAATTTAAATTTTGAGTTTTGTTAAGTTACAATCTATTAGTTTAACAATAGGAGCAGATAGGTTTGCCTTTTGTCTGGTTTACAAGGGTCTTTTGAAAAGGAGTAGAGGTTTATTTGTTTGTTTCTTGTTTAGGATTGGGTTTCCAGTTCCTTCTGAAGGTTTCTCACTTTCTTTCATTCCCAGTAGCCCCCTTGCGTCTCAGTGGCATTATTGCCTTGCTTGGGGTGAATTGATTAGAGAGAGAGAGAGAGAGAGAGAATCTTTTTAGCCATGAAAAAAAGGTTTAAAAAAAATTATAAAGTCTTATCACAACCTGGCATCTTGGCTTCAGTCACTGTCTCACTGCTCTAAAGTAACCTCCCTCTACCTTTTTATAAATACTTTCATGGTAATTGTTCAGACAAGCCTTTTGCTGTGGTACCTCAACTTTATGAATTTAAGTGAAGCACTAAACTGGCAACAAGGTTTCACCAATTTATAGTCGAGTTGGCTAGATGTAACTAAGTTCTATGCTAACAGCTTCTTTTTTTTTACACTTCTCGCTTGTGGAACTCTCTTCCGGCTTCACGCTTTCCAATCAGCATCTTAAAGAAAAATTTAAATGCAATGTCAATAGCTATCTACTGTCTTCCTGATTAATCTTCTGTTCTTCTTCTTTCTTAGTAATGTTTCTGTTTTCTAATGTATTCCCTTGAGTCTTAGTATCTTTACTGTCTTGCATAGGGTAAACCCAATGAAAAACAAAACTAAAATAGATAACCGCCTTTTTTGGAAAGTCAAAAGTCTTGGCCGTTTATATGATTTATTCAAACCTAAATCCTCCGTAAACAAAATGATTATATAACAGCAAGAACATTGTATATTGTACACATAGCAAATATTATTTAGTTTAGTCTTTTCTTCTCACTTTCCTTTACCATCTTCTGTAGGAGTTATTGTAGTTTCCTTTTTTGTGTTTGCCACCAACACTGTGTTATCTGTATATCTTATGTTAAGATTGTGGCCGCCAATAATAAATCCTGTTAGGGCTTCTCGTTCTCTCAAAATCGGCTCACTATATAGGTAAAATAAATCTGGTGAGAAGACACATACTTATCTTACACCACTTTCTAGTTTTGTATATTTACTGAATTCATTTTCTATCCGTGTGAAGGCAGTTAGCTGCCAGTATAGGTCCTGGATTATTCTAATATCCTTCCCAAATATGTCAAGGTTACCTAGCAGTTACAAAAGAGCTTTTACTTTGACACAGTAACAAATATGACGATGTCACACAGAAAGGCTCTGCAAAAACAATATTAAAAGTCTGAATAATCGTGTTGCAAATATTTATTGTGAAATATTCACAATTAAGAATCAAGGCTGACTGCGGCTGGGATCACAGAGTCATTGTAAACTCCATTAACTTGTTTCCTTAGCTGCATGGTGTGTGCTTTGCCAGGTTTCTGAATTCAGAGTTGCCCTCATCCAAGACTAGTTATCACCCAAAGCTGAAGAGCTCAGTCTGACATTATTTTACCCATAGCTAGGGGGGGGGGGTTGAATTCAGAATTGTTCTAGACCAGTTGCCAGCCAAGGCTTTATGACCCAGTCTGCCCTACTATTTTTCCATAGCTGGGGGAGGGAGACGAGTTGTATTTACACCATTCCCAAGGGTATTCGCATGTAAGTGAATGTAACGAACTTGACTGGAATTCAAACTCAGCATTCCAATTCCTCAACTGGAGCTGCAATCCAAGATTCCACAATTAAGAAACTTGTCACAAATTGGGCAAAATAAACCAAATGGGCTGTCAACTTTCGTCTTTCCTTGCAACAGTCCATTATTTACAAGGTATCGGGAGGACATAACGTATGCACTAAGGAATATGTAGAATCATGTGCAATGCATTACATGCAAATTAATCTATAGGCTTGTTATTCCTGTTGGTGAAGCCGATGACTGACATGTGTTTTCCAGCTGATGAATCTATGAATGCATGGCCATTGACAAGATTAAGTTATGACGATTTTAAGCTAACATCATTTAAAAACTGAGGTAAACCAATATTGATTCCGAATTCTTTTGATGAAAATGGTCATCAGCATGGATAAGACTTTATTAAAAAAATGATGGCAGCTTATAAGACGAGCAAATGATTTACTCTAGCCATAAAATCAAACACAGACATTGAAGAAAACTGACTGAAGTTATTTTTTGAAGATTTATTTTATACTCGTTTTAATCCTTTAAAATTTTCACATTTTTCCCCTATTTGAAATTTCTTCTAAATCTTAATTCCCAAGTTAATATTTGGTTTGGTTTATTTTGTTTTTCTCAATGGATTATTTAATGCCAACAATATTTTTTTATTGCTGGTAATATTTTGTTTTGTCAAAAATCTTTCTGGTAATATTTTTCTTTCAAAATTGTATTGCTGGTAATAGTTAACTATTTGCCCATAGCTGGGACCCTAACAGGTACTACCACCCCGAGTCAGGGAGGACCTGGGAACACCAGCAATTAAGAGGTGGTTCCAGGCTCCTCAAAACCTCCTGATCAGAGGCCTTGCTGCTGGATGTAGTTTATCATCTTACCCAGGACGTGGATGTAGTTTATCGTCTTACACAGGACAACCCTAAGTTAATGATTGAAACTTTTCCCATTTAAACAACAGTTAAATGCTCCTTTCTTTCATTTTATTGCCGAAATCAAGTAGTGTCTTTTCTCTCCATGTGATCAAAATGGAATAGTTCATTATTGAAGAGGTATTGGAAGGGGGTAATGGTCATGTGAACTAACAAATGGTGGGACAAGCATAATTATAATAAGATATTAAGCATTTGTTATTTTATCAAATTACCCATACTGGTAAAGCTGATGATGTTTTTGCTTAACCTTTTGTGGGTTAGTTAAAGCCAGAAAATATTTTGGTTTGGATGTAAGAACAATTCTTTTTTTTTTTTTTTTTTTTTGCAAGTAAATTTTTGCATTAACAAGTTTTTGGGAGAATGACAATGATTTTTCCAGTTTTCAGTTCTAATATTTAACCCATAGCTGGGAGAAGTAATGAAGTTAAATTTGATGGCACATTTTGTTAAATTCTTACTATTATCCCATAAAGAGAGATGCAGTTTTGAACCCTGCTGGAGAGCAGATTTTCTTTAAGGTTTCTCGAATGACCAGGTCAATAAGCATAATACACACTAAAATAAAAATGAGGCGTCTATTTCAAACACAAGTATCCACTAAATAATAAAGTTTGAAATAATAAGAATGTCGGATTAAAAATAAAAAAATCCATTAATTCTTTAGAACACCATGTGGTTTCTCCTACAAAGGGGGATGCCGGTTCGATCCCTGCTAGAGAGCACATTTTCTTTTTCAAGATTTCTCAAATGTGCAGGTTGATAAATGTAATACACACTGGTCAAAATAAATATCTTCTATTATCACAATGTGGGATATTTAATAATCAAAAGTGAAGGAAACAAAAAGAAAAAAAGAATCTAAATGAAATCAGCTATATAATCCCAAACACATCTTTAAATTAAAATTCCCAGCATGTGTGCATGCGTAGTTGCATCAACATAAACAGTCTCAAGTCCTAAAAGATGAAACTTATTTGTGTGTAAATCTCCGGACACACTACTGAAAGAACAAACTTACTTTGGACTGTGAAGAACTCCTGTGTCAGGAGGAGCAATCCGTACAGTCACTGGACTTCTCATCTTGTTGATGTTGGACTCCACCAGAGGAATTTTTATCCTTTTTTCTAGGCGCACATGAGGTAGTACCCCAGGGGAAGAATTATTAGGGTAGCACACTTCAGGACGTTGCAGTGCATGTGGAGTAAAGCCTATTGGGTTAATGCCTGGTCTGAAGATAAAAAAAAAAGAAAAAATTCAATCAATTTTGTATACAAAAGAGTAAAAGTACAAATAATTTCTACAGGGAGTTTATAACTTGGCAATTCAAAAGAGAGAAAAGGAAAAAAAGAGAAAAGGAAAAAAAGAGAAAAGGAAAAAAAGAGAAAAGGAAAAAAAGAGAAAAGGAAAAAAAGAGAAAAGGAAAAAAAGAGAAAAGGAAAAAAAGAGAAAAGGAAAAAAAGAGAAAAGGAAAAAGAGAGAAAAAGAAAAAGAGAGAAAAAGAGAGAAAAAGAGAGAGAAAAAGAAAAAAGAGAAAAGAAGAGAGAAAAAGAAAAGAGAGAAAAGAGAAAAAAGAGAGAAAAGAAAAAGAGAAAAAAGAGAAAAGAAAGAGAAAAAAGAGAAAAGAAAGAGAAAAAAGAGAAAAGAAAGAGAAAAAAGAGAAAAGAAAGAGAAAAAAGAGAAAAGAAAGAGAAAAAAGAGAGAAAAGAAGAGAGAAAAAGAAAAAGAGAGAAAAGAAGAGAGAAAAAGAAAAAGAGAGAAAAGAAGAGAGAAAAAGAAAAAGAGAGAAAAGAAGAGAGAAAAAGAAAAAGAGAGAAAAGAAGAGAGAAAAAGAAAAAGAGAGAAAAGAAGAGAGAAAAAGAAAAAGAGAGAAAAGAAGAGAGAAAAAGAAAAAGAGAGAAAAGAAGAGAGAAAAGAAAAAGAGAAAAAAGAGAGAAAAGAAAAAGAGAAAAAAGAGAGAAAAGAAAAAGAGAAAAAGAGAGAAAAGAAAAAGAGAAAAAAGAGAGAAAAGAAAAAGAGAAAAAGAGAGAAAAGAAAAAGAGAAAAAAGAGAGAAAAGAAAAAGAGAAAAAAGAGAAAAAAAAAGAGAAAAAGAAAGAAAAGAAAAAGAGAAAAAGAAAAGAGAAAAAGAGAAAAAAGAAAAAAGAGAGAAAAGAAAAAGAAAAAAGAGAAAAAAAAAAAGAAAAAGAGAGAAAAGAAAGAGAAAAAAGAGAGAAAAGAAAAGAAAAAAAGAGAGAAAAGAAAAAGAAAAAAAGAGAGAAAAGAAAAAGAAAAAAAGAGAGAAAAGAAAAAGAAAAAAGAGAGAAAAGAAAAAGAAAAAAGAGAGAAAAGAAAAAGAGAGAAAAGAGAGAAAAGAGAAAAGAAAAAGAGAAAAGAGAAAAGAAAAGAGAAAAAGAGAAAAAAAAAAAGAGAAAAAAAGAGAAAAGAAAAAGAGAAAAAAGAGAAAAGAAAAAGAGAAAAAAAGAGAAAAGAAAAAGAAAAAAAGAGAGAAAAGAAAAAGAAAAAAAGAGAGAAAAGAAAAAGAAAAAAGAGAGAAAAGAAAAAGAGAGAAAAGAGAGAAAAGAGAAAAGAAAAAGAGAAAAGAAGAGAGAAAAGAAAAATAGAAAAAAGAGAGAAAAGAAAGTAAAAAGAGAGAAAAAAGAAAGGAAGAGAAAGAAAAGAAAAAGATAATGAAAAGAAAAAAAGATAACGAAAAGAAAAAAGATAACGAAAAGAAAAAAAAGATAAAGAAAAGAAAAAAAATCTTAATACATAATAAGATCCATGATCTATATCTATAATTCTTAAAATGTGTGTGTGATCAGATGTTCCACAGGTCTTATCCGATTTCGATGAAATTTTTTTTTGTTTGATAGATAATTCTTCAGTACTGGTTTTGAGTTCAAATTGTTGGCGATAATGGCTCTCCACTACTTCCCGTCCATTATAACTCTCAGCAATGTTTTACTATCTGTTCTTGGATATATATCTTAAAAACTTTAATAAAAATAAATAGTTTAAATTATTACTATAATTTATTATTATACAGTTCCCTTTTCAGGGCCACCACCCCACCATTTAGGGATGTGCCTCAGTTGCACCCAAATGTTGTTACTAATATTGATATTTGGGTGAGCTGACTTCAAACTTAAACTGCTCCAATTGAACAGCAAAAAATCCCAGTAATGAAAGAACTGGTCAAAGATTGGTTATACTGCTAGTTTTAAATAAAACAATTTTTTTTTTTTTTTTTTTAAAAGAACCTTGATAGTTTTACACAATGGTAAATACTAGAGTTGGTCGGTTTGACAATTTATGTTTTGGTATCGGTTTTGTTTTCCTTGATACCACAGTTTTCGATTTGGTTTTTAATTTAGTATTTTTCCTTTCTATGGAAGCCATTCATTTTCTTGTGTTATGATAGCATTTCCAGTCAATATCTGATTTTGTTTGAGATTGGTAAATTTGCAACTTAGTCCATTTAACTCACAATATCTCATGTATTTATGGTCCAATCTTAAAAAGATTCATATGGCTGGAAAGAGAATAAAATAATATTTCTAAACATGTGATTTGTATGTGCTTTTATTTATTGAATTTTTTCTTTTTTCTTTTTTTTACAGCGAATTAAAACGGTAGTGCTTCGAACGGCCAAAAATGCAAAATACGACACTTTTTTTTGTTTTTGAGACTAAATTTTACATGTTACTTTGTTTTGCAAAATCAAAGTAACCAATGTTTATCAATGTTCTTGAAATTGTACACTCAATTAGAAGACACCTTAAACTACAACAAGGAAGATGTTCATTTCTTCTCTGACCCAAGGAAGCGAATTCTTTCAAAAATTATAAAGTAAGCAAAAAATGGCAATTCTTTTCTGGTATGCCATTCAGCTATTATTGGGGTTTTGCTAATAAATTATTTTTTCCCCTAAATAAATTCATGTTTTCACCTAGTGAATACACCTAAAATTAAATATTAAAAATAATTAAAAGTTTTTGATTTCATTTTTAGAATGTGTAGATTTCCAAATCTGTGACTATCACCTGTTCTTTTTTAGATAGGCATGATTAATATAGTTTTCAATTTCAGTTAAAAAAAAAAAAAAAAAAAAAAAGAAAAAAGTGACTTGCAGTTTTGAAAATATACACATTTTAAAACTGAGATTGAAACTTACTTTATTTTTTTTAATGTCTAATTTTATGTGTATTTTTTTTTAGATAGAAACATAATTTTATTGGTAGAAAACAGAGACTGGCATATTTGGAAATATACACATCTTAAAAGTGAAATTAAGAACTATTTTAATTATTCTTCATATCTAATTTAGTTGCATTCTCTAGATAAAAAACATTTATTTATACAAAAAAAATCTTCATTCATTTTTCTTGTTTACAACTTTATTTCATGAATGGCATAATGGCTTACTAGCTTACTAGAAAACTCTTACAAAAAACCAGGCTTCATAAAATATTTAACATTAACATGAAACTGGCAACTATTTTTTTCTATTTTGTTAATTTTACCACAAAAAAAATTTCCCTTTGTTGTCAGCTTACTTCATAATTCTGGGAAATTCCTTTCTTCCACGCTCTCATATTATTACCTCTAACTAAATCTCCTCAGTGTGTGTGTGTGTGTGTGGATAAGCCACCCCACCACTCCTAGTATTTCAACTCAACTTTTGACCAGGAGAAATCAACTCCAAATTTGTTTACAAAAATGAGGATTCCATTTTACAGCATGTATTTTCAGCTGCGTAGAACACATGTCAATCATCATTGATTTTTAAGTCTGGGTCGTCATTTTCCATTGTTCAAACCCTCAACCCACCAATTTCAGGTGTCGTTTGTATGTGAATTAAATCGTCAATCTTTTCCCATAGATTTTAGGTATTCCAAAGTCTTTTAGTATATCACTCTTTCTATTCATAAGAAAACTTTCCTGTTTTACTGCGGTAACAACAAATTGTATCACACAGACATCATTTGTATAGATTCTGCATAGTTCACAACTCTGTGTAATTTAAAGTTTTGCTTTTTGGAAACATTCTAGATATTTTTTCTGTCATTCCCACTTTCAAATATTTTTGAATAGCACTTAAATCTATAAATCCATGGTTGCAAAATGTGAATTATGTATGCACTAGATGGAAGTTTTTTTTTTTTTTTTTTAAATTAATGTTCCCCCAATACAAGGCCCAAGAGCCACTCAAGGTAGAGGGTTACTGTGTGGTGTTGTATGAGCATAAGAAAGGGCAAGTGAAGTTCTTGAGGCTATGCAGGAAAGATAATAGCTAACTAGGTCAAGATTTAATTAGTAAATAATATTTCTGAATTCAATCAAAGATGTTAGAAGTTTAGTGTGAGAGTAGACTTTAGAAGGAATAGGAAACCCAATCCTAAACAAGAAACAAGTGATAAAACTAGTCCAGTTCAAAAGACTGGAGAGGAGTGTGAACTGGATGATTTGGAGAGAAGAAAAAATAATTAGTGAATAAAATTTCAGAGCTCAGAGACGTTAGAAGTAAAGAGTTAAAGTAGACTTTTTTTAAAATGCCTTTCTCAGATCAATTGCAAAGATGAGAGTTTGTGAAAGAATAATGCCAGACAGAAATGCAGAAAAAGAAAAAAAGAAAATTTGGTTGCTATCAAGTTGGCACCTTGTAGAATAAACATAAAATAACATTCACACCATGTTGACTTTTACAGCATACTGACAGTCATCATTGTGGAAGAGAGAAAAAAAAAAAAACAGTAAGTGAAAAGGTCAAGGTTTGGGTAATAGAATAAAAAAAGTTTTGCAGTTTTCTGAAGTATGGAGCCTTCTCCTTTGAAAGGCATTAACAGTTTTAGGCACAGAAATATCCAACATGTAAATTGATAAATAATTATCAATTGATTGATTCATTTTTTTGCAGGTTATTCAAAGCCAGAAAATATCTTTAGATTGTAAGAATTATTTTTTGAGATAATGATTTAGTGATACAAATTTTACTAATTAACCCATAGCTGGAGGGAGAAGGTGGATTCATTACTTTTCCCAAGAGTATTTGTGAGTAAGTGAACATAACAAACCCAGTGGGAATAGGAAATTGGTTCTCCAATTAACAATTCCAAGTCCTTATCCATTACACCACCCACACATCCAAGCTTACAGCACCTGGTATTCCCAAGCGGTTACCCATCTAGGTGCTGACCAGGCTCGACATTGGTTACCTTCAGTGTTCTAATGTAATGTGGCCGTAAGCCTCCTATCAAAGTAAAATTCAGAAGTTTCCATTTAACTTTAATAAAACATCCCAAATATTTTTGATTATTAAATTAAAATATATTAATGAACAAAGGGTTCTAGTAAAAAAAAAGAAAAAAAAAAAGAAAAGAAAAAAAAAAGTGATGTGCAGATCTATTACACATGAACATACATGTAAAAATACAAATCACATACAACGCCAAGCATTAATTCATTGATTAATCACCACTACGTTATTATAGGCAATTTACAAATTGCAGCAACGCAACAATTTTGTAAATGCTCTATTTTCATGTAGTCAGTTCTGTGCACTTTTGAGGGGAAACGGATCACAGAAGCTTTCTTAAGTCTCCCCAAAGCTCACTCGCTGATTGGTCAATGCCAACCAATCAGATTGTCTGCACGTGAAGAATAATTTTTCCCCGTGCAGCAATCTGGAGCCTACAGTTACTTATTTAAGCAAGAGTTTTTCTAACCCTCATTAGTGAGATTTCAGCTGCCAAACGAATCCACGACAGTTGAAACCATGCGCCGACCTTCTCACTCATATGCACCACTCACATGCTGAACATAACCTATATACACTCACATAATTTTTTCTTACACAGCAAAAGCTTTCAAGAACAATCATTACAAGAGACTCTCATGAACATTCTTCCAGTGAACTTTAGAACACTAAAATAACGGTTAAAGAGAGACAACTCTTGGTTAATTCAACCTTTTCTTAAATGCATGCTTTCTTTCACGTTGTTGTTTGATATTGTACATCTTGTTAAATACATATTTTATGTGTAACAATGTCTTTTGCTTATCCTTTTCTGTGTCAGTCCTGTTTCCTAATTTCTTCCAAATATGGATATATTAAGATATGGTATTTTTCTAGGTATTTATTTTGGATATTTGAATGACAAAAAATTCTGTGATGTGTTTTCTCTATTAAAAGAGACTTCATCAGACTAAAGTAAAAATAAAATCTGCAGGCTTAGCAGAATGAATTGTATTAGTTCTCAAAGTGACCACTTGGTGGTGGGCCTTTCACTTGTAATCAAAGACAGATGTAAAGTACGATACATTAGTGTGTGCATGAGAAATATATTAATCAAAATAACAAAAATAATATATCTATATTAAGTATATACTTATTTATGCCATATATACATTATGACCATAACTACTGGTAGTTACTATAGTGGTTTTATAACTCAAAAATGATTCCTTTACATCTACGGACAATCGGCTTTTACAGACCATCCTCCCTCCCTGTTAGTCCGCTGATGAGAGGTTTGTCTGTGCTTAACTTAGACTGGCACAAAGCCTTCAGAGATACTAAAAAAAAAAAAAAAAAAAAAACCCTGTTGTAATAATAAAAATTTAGTTTGCTAATCAGCATGATGGTAAGGCAGTTTTATCATGATATATTCTAAACCAGAACTTCCCAACCTTTATTTGACCAGGCCCCACCTAAGCATTTCCAATATCCTGATGTCTCCACCCCTGTGACATCTTACTTATTATAAAACGCATATTGTGTGTGTGTGTGTGTGTGTGTGTGTGTGTGTGTGTGTGTGTGTGTGTGTCTGTACGTTTATATATTGGATCGGATTTCCTACATTTTTCAACTGATTTCAACAAAACTTCACTTTTTTTTGGCAGGTAGTGTTTCTTATTGTCTTGCACACTTTCTTTATTTTTATATTCAGAATGCTTTAAAAATTCCATTTACAAGACAATTGTTTATAATAAAATTCTATTCAATCGGTAGACTCATAACGATTGAAAACAATGTTTTTTGTTTGAGTTTGACCAATTCGTAAAAAAAAAAAAAAACACTAATTAAGACATGCGTGTCCGTCAACCTTAAACAATAACCTTTGTCAATTTTATTTTTCAGTCTTTATGATGCTCGATACTTGATCTATCTCTTACTGTTACATCCCCAGGCAATGTCGGGCTCTACTGCTAGTAATTACTATTCAAAAAGTGAACTCCTATTCCCGTGGAAGGAGCCTCAAAGGTCATTAACTATCCGTAAGAATTTGAGAATGCGTATATGCAATAGTATTATTTAATTTTAGAATTTTACAATATTTATAAAAATATTGTCACTGATATATATATGTGTGTGTGTGTGTGGGGGGGGGTTGAGTTTTTTTTTTATAATGCTTGGTAGGCTTTCAACTGAGGTAGCTAGATTTTTTAGTTAGGAAATATTTATTGGGCTGGATCAGTGGTCCCCAACCTTTACCCCACCTAAGCACCTCTAAAATCCTAATACCCACCCCCCTCCATGAATTTTTTATTATTCAAAAAGTGAAGTTTTACTCAGGTGGAGGAAGCCTGAAAGGTCATTAACATAAATATCTGTAAGAATTTGAGAATGCATATATGCAATATTACTAATTATTTTTAGAATTATACAATATTTATTAAAATATTGTGTTACTAATACACACACAAATATTTTTATGTTTTGTATACTGCATATGTATTAACTCACATGCACAGAGATTCACTAGAAAAAATTTCATCGTTAATAACTCATTTTTGAATAGCACCCTACCACCAAATTGTATACACCTCATGTTAGGAAATTATGATTCTGAACCCTTAAAGCTATCAATATCTTAATATATCCATATTTAGAACCAATTGACATAATAACCACATCTACAAGGAACTGGAATGAATGCAAAAAAAAAAAAATAAACAGCTATAATGAGAAGATCATAAAATCATTGTTCCTGATGGCATGCAAGATCCTATGACAATTTATGAGGTGCTGAAAAGTTTTGGGTTCAAAATTCCCACCCTCACCTAATCTGGCCAAATAGATTTTAAAAAAATGTTTTCCTGGTTGACTTGAGAACTTTTCAACACCTCTTGTAGATTCAATATGCATCATGCAAAGGTGAAAAAAGAGTGTTGATAACAGATACCCCAACTTTACATAAAACATGGAGAGAAAAAAAAAAAAAAATCCTATACATCATTAAAATCACTTAAAAAAAATCTCCCTGATTTAATGATGTTTTAAATATTATCTAATAGGAATTCAAACTTTGGTCATGTCATGTAACGAGATTATGTTACCACACCCAAAAAAGATTTTTTTTTTTAGTTACCTACAGTTTAGACAAGAATATTTGTGGTTTATACTGAAATGTTTTCAAGAAAGAAAAAAAAGAAAAGGTATCCATTTTTCATGAGTGCAAAATATGTGACAACTCTAATTGGACACAGTTCCCGACCTTTAAGAATAATTACAGGAATGTTTTGAGAGTGTATTCTTTGACATTATCTCTGTCAAGGCACCCTTGCCTCAAAGTGAAAAAAAAAAAAAAAAAAAAAAAAAATGTCTATTTCTAACAAGACAAGGACTGGTGCCAGCTTTGTGCGCAAACAGCAATTTCTTGGCTTTAAACAGGTCAACTTTCTCAGGTCACTGATAATCAAGTCAACAAGCATTTTCTCCAGTTAAGTAACAAATAGTTTTACAATCACCTCCTCCCACACATACAAAAAAAAAAAAAAAAAAAAAAAAACAACAACAACAACAACACACACACACACAGAGTAGAGGTGGGGACTATAGAGAGAGAGGAAAAGGAAGAAAACAAGTGAAGTCTGAGCTGATAAAGACAGGGATGATCCAAACGCCTTCAGATGCCAATCCCATTTTCATCTGCCCTCTTAAGTCCAATATACCATAGAAGGTGTCAGAGAAAGAAGCAAGAATGTAGTCAAGACTATAGACTGTTTACTTGCAATGCAAAGATTGGCATTTTGTCAATTACACTTACAGGAAGCACAAATGCAACAAGTGTGTGTATGTGTGTGCATATATTTGAAGAGAGGCAAAGGCTCATCATTTATAATAGTGTTCAAGATGGATCCAGTCTGGCAGCGCACCAAATTCAGTCTCCAAAAATAGTGGCTGCCATGTTCAAGGTCAATGTTGCCTACAGAAAAAAAAATCTACTTGACAGTAGTAGCCATCAATGGTGTCCAGCTCATCTCCAATTAGGCATCCAGATATTAGACTCGCTTCCTGGCATAGTTGAAGCCAATAAGCTTGTCTTCAATGGGAGGGAAAAAAAAAAAACAAAAAACATTCATTCCAGTCTTGCTTTTATAAGTACACAGCCAAGAATGTGCTTGGAAATATAACTCCCAAACTTGTGAGTGAACTGAACTGTGTTGCAATGCTTACCAATATTCAGTCACAGGCAATTTGTTATCACAGAAATCATTTGTGTTTTTACCTGCCTGGACTCGACTACAAAGATTTATTTGGAGGTGGGTAAAGTTAAATAGCCAATGTTCAGAACTGATAGTTGAAAAGTTTCACCAGTTTACAATACCAGAAATTAATCTAAGCAGAAAATAAAATAGTGGGGTAGAAAGTAAAGAAGAAAAAGAAGCAATTATGTCTGCTGGAATTAAATGCCATACTTTATATATCATTTCACACCAAGCAAGGCAATAAAGCCACTAAGATCTAAGGGGTTACTGAGGGTGAAAGAACAAGAGAAAAAAAAAAAAAACATTAAAGAGAGAGAATAATAAAAGAACATGAATTAAGAAGACAGAAGATAACGATTGACATTGTATTTAGATTTTTGAAGATCAAACTTGACTGGAAAGCAAAAGGCTGGAAGAAACTTCCACAAGTGAGAAGAAAGTGTTAGCATAGAACTTCTGGTTACATCAAGCCATTTCAACTTTAAAATGATGAGATCTTGCTGACAATCTAGTAGTGTGCTTAAATTCATAAAGTCTAGGTGCCAAAGAGAGAAAAAAAGTCTAGGTACCATCAGAACAATTAACATGAAAATAATTATAGAAAAAGCATAAAGAAGCTATGTTCCAGCAGTGGGAAAGTGACTGAAACCAAGATATCAGGTCAGGACCAATAACATTGCAGATTCTTTGTATTTTATCTAGAATCTCTAAACATACAGAAATACCAGACCAGATGTGGCAGCATGGTATACTTAAAAATATGCAAGACATATTATGGAGAGAAAATTATTTAGCATGACACAGTGAACCAAATTTCTTAGCAGCAGACCTAGCAATTGATTCATTCTTTCTACTTCATGTCAGTGAGATGGTGCAATGAGTCACTATGCTGGAGTTTAGCATCAGCAAAATGTGTTCTTTCAGACGATAAAAAAAAAAGATGAGTTTTGTTTTGGAGGTGTTAAAATTACCAAGGCAGTCCTTGTCCCAGTTAACAACAGACTGTAGATAATTTTTGAGATCACTTTCTAATTTGATCTTAGCAAACTGAGCAGATTTACTATTAAGAGAAGTGTAAATAGTTCTCATCACCACAGATACAAAGTTGAGAACTGATGACATCAAGAATGTTCTCCATAAAAAATAGGAACAATGTAAGTCCAAGGATACAGCACCTGCATTAATGCAAAAAGATTCAGAAGAGTGGCCATTCAAGATAACTTTCATTTCATGGTTCGATAAGAAATATCGAATCACTTCCTAAATCCACCCAGAAATGCATTTCAACTTCTGAAGCAGCATGCCAAAAAACCTGTCAAATACCTTTACTTTGCAACATTCAAAGTGTGTGTGTGTGTATAAAGACAAAAGTAAAACAATTCTTTACTCCTCTCATGGACTTTCAGGTAAATGTAAGAATTTTATTTTGCAATGTATATTCATAAACAGAAGTAAAAAGATCATTAGGTTTTCAAATTTAACAACACTCATAAATATTCTTCAGGCTGTGAAAGTCAAGATAAAGTATGGAAGATGCTAAGTGATGTAATTTAATGAAGTTTTTCTTATTTGTTTATATATTTATTTTTTGTATTATTAATGTAATTATTATTTTAATTTAATTTGGTAAATTAAACAACCGAAGGTTTTGATTTAAGTGTTTTTTTTAAACAATTGAAGGTTTTGATTTAAGTGTTTTCTTTTCATTTTTAAAAATTTCTATAGTTATAATATATAGTTATGCAGTGATCAATTTTGAGTTCTTCCATAGTTTATTGTTGCATATTGCACCTACTCCTCCTTATCTATTTTGATGAAGGCCCAATCAAGAACCCTTCCCAGGAGCTAGCTTAAACGCCAGCTGATAGGATGGCTTCTAAGCTGGTATTACATATAACACAGAGAAGCTGATATGAGCGTGTTCTGCATCCCTGACACATAAAAATGTTAAAGGATACAGAAACATTCCCATCTGTGCGTACCAGGGACGCAACTATAATTTCCCATAAAAAGTGATATATTGCACAAAACCAACCCATGACAGTTATGACATAGTATCAACCAATAACAAATTCCTTTGACTAAGTAAACAAAGACATCAATTTAAAATGTAACTAATATATTCTTTAGAGATTGGTGGTTTAACTGAAAAACCGACTTTCTTTATTTTCATTTTCACACTGTGAAAGAAACCACATCAAAATCATTCGTTTTTTTTTTTTTTTGAAGTGCTATCACTAATGAGTGGCCATATCCAAAGAAACACAATTGAAAACAACTTTCAGAGTTAATAAAATTAAATTTTATCAACATTTATAGAATTGTAAGAGAAAGATTGAAGAAAAATATGTCAAAAACATTTAATTGACTAGTTTTATAAATAAGGAAATAAATGTGAAATCTATTTGTTTACAAAAGGAAGGAAGAAAAATGGAAATACAACATGATGCCTGAAATATATTTGTTTTCAGTTTCAGAAAAAAAAAAAAAAACAAAAAAACTTTCTGGTAAAATTAACTTAACAAAATATTGAAAAAAAAAAAAAAAAAAAAAAAAAAAAAAGGTGGTGCCAGTTTTGTCTTAAATGTTAAATTTTATCAAGTCATATTTTTGTAAGGATCGTATGTATGTAATTATTTTCTAGTAAGCCAGTGTGCACTAATCGTGAAATAAAGTTGTAAACTAAACAAGAAAAATGAATGAATATCTTTTTTTATGAATAAATTTTTTTTTAGCTAGGGATTGCCCCTAAATTAGATATTAAGAACAATTAAAATAGGCCTTAATTTCACTTTTAAAATGTATATATTTCCAGATATGTGAGTTGCTAGTGTAAAATTGTTTGTTTTGTAGAAATAAAATTGCTTCTCTAGTGAATACACCTAAAATTAAATATTAAAAAAATAAAGTTTTAATCTCAGTTTTAAAATGTGTATATTTTCAGAACTGCAAATCATTTTTTTTTTAAAACCCAAAGTAAAAATTATTCTTTTTTAGCCACTAGTGTTCAATGGGTGTTTGAGTTTGTTACTGTTCTGCTTATAAAATTCTTCTAAACAAGGAAAATTTTATTTTTACAAATATCTTTATGGTTTTATCTGGCGAGTACACTTAAGATTATGTTAAAATCATTAAAATGGTTTATAATTACAGTTTTAAAATGTGTATCTAAAAAAGAACTGGTGATACTTGTAGATTTGGAAATCTACACATTCTAAAAATCAAATTAAAAGCTTTTAATTATTTTTAATATTTAATTTTAGGTTTATTTGCTAGATAAAAACAAATTTATTTAGGGGAAAAAATAACGCATTGATTTTTTTTTTCCTTGGTTCCTTGTGTAGAAGAAATTTATTTTCAAAAACCCCATAACAGGTGACTGGTGTACCAGAAAAGAATTGCCACATTTTTAATTATTTTAAACATGAGGGGTTTCATTTTTTGACTTTTTAAAAGCCACATCATAAACAAATTTCTGAAGAGATATACCATTTTATCTCTCAAAAATATGTTGTCTAAAGACACAAATATAGATATTTTATGTGATGATTTCTTGTATTTTACCAATTTGTTAATAAATATGGTAGTTATCTATTAAAGTTGACAATTAATTAAAAAGTTTAATGAACTTTAATCTAAGTCATGAATTTTATGACTAAATTACTTTTAAAGCCTAAAAACTGATTTTAAGTGAACAATTCCTACTTTATTACCCACCCTGATTCTGGGTTTTTAAAAATTTACAGACATGAGTTAATCATGTCTGTAAATTTTTATTACCCTTGCTTAAAACCAAATATTGACCCCTTATGGACCAGTTAACAAACCTCCACAATGACAGACGTTTCAAAAAACAGCACTCAAAAGTCAAAAAGTATACGGGTGCTTATTTTACGTGACAAGACAGTTTCAATAATTTGAAAGTTCTTTTACCATACATACTATGAGTTGATCT